AATGGGCACTCACATCCATTAGTGATATGAGTCGTTTTCTTAAATGACGGAACAAGCTGTGGAGTGGCAATTGGAAAGGGGTCTTCTTCACCCACAACATGAAGGAAAATGCCCCTTTAAAATTCCATCTACACTGTTCAAAGAAAAACATTTTACATAAAAACAATAGTTCAATGTTGGACCACTAAATGAAAAGAGTTGAGTCGAATGATTTATACGTGTATTATTTGTTTGTATTTTCTTGTCTTTCCATTTTTGTGCTTTCAAAAGTTGTCGGTATAAATACGTTTTGTCGAATAGACTCGCGATGTAAATGTTTTGTCTCAGAAGCTTTTCAAATGTTTTTGTTGTTTTTACTGCCTTTTTGGTTAAAAATTAAATTAAATTAGTTGGTATGTTTCTTTACCCATGAAAATTTTGATTGTCTTTAGTTTACAATGTTAGCCTGTTAATCGTGCTTATGTCCTATAATAATAATGATAATAATAATAATTATTTTTTCTTTTACGAGGGTTCGCAACAGCAGAGGTCTATCAACCCTCGGGGTACCGTTGTTTTTGAAAAAAAAGCCCATTTGTATGTCGGGTTGTTATATTATATATTCATCATTATATTCCTATAATTACTAATAAATACTTACATTATTTCCTTGTAATAAATCCTTTACCCTACTTCCAATATGAAAATGTCTAATATTTAAAAATTACTTTTTACCGAACACTGGTTGATAATGGAAATTGAGTTTTATAAAAGAAAATGTTTGAAATTATTTTATAATTGGAACTAAAAAGACGAAACTTTTTAAAAGTCAAAGGTAATTGTATTAATTAACTTTTTTAGTGTTATGTAATTTATTTACATATTATAGATATTTATGGGTTATTTACGGTTAATTTGGATATATCTACCCTTGGGGTGCCTGTATTTTTGAGAAAAAGGCCATTTGTAAGTAAGACGAACTGGAATGCAGGGCCGCTGGATTCGAACCAGGGACCTTTACCTTACAGTGATGATCGCCGTGTCAACGACTAAACCGTTGCGGCCACCGACACCCCTTTTTTTAAATTGTTATTGTTTTTAATTTATTATTAATTATTGAGGTTTGTATTTTCCATTAGTTAGTTGCACTGATTTATATTTTTGTGCCGTCGTTTTATTTCTGAGTAGTACAATAAGCCTATTTCCATATCAAATAATTCTACATATTTTTATTAACAATTTTTAATGTCGATCATAACTTCAAATCAATATGGTCGTTGTATTATTACAAACTTAACAAGAAAATAATTCAAATAAATACAATATTATAAATGCAATTTTAGTTTACTTAAAGCACAAAAAAAAAAAAGGTTTTAAAGGATTATTAAGCGCAAATTAACATGTTAAATTAAAGGATGTATAGAATGTCTTTTATTTTTCTAACTCTGGTCTGCTTGTTTAAATCATGAGCCAAACACAATTTCGATGGTGTTTTTCTCGTGGGAGACTTCGTGCTTCCAGAGGACATTTTCATGTATCAACGATACGAGAACGAACAACAACGATGAAGGCATTTGTCCGATTGGACAGGGCAAAGCCTCCTAACGGCCGGATGGCGTGCTCTCCTCTAAATTCCAACCCTTACGGCTTTGGGAACAAGAGTGCATCTAACCCTAAGGGAGACAATGTGGCATTTTCTTGATTAGTTTGAGCTAACAATTGGAAAATCTGTATTATGTACGTTATTAGAGAAGTAGGATAACAAAAGTGTAAAGTACAAATGTAGAACGAACCGCAAGTATATTGAAATCTTGGTTAAAAAAAATGGAAAAAATGTTATAACATGCAATTAGTTTAATTTGAGAATTAATTAATTACTCTCCTTCCAATTGAGCCTTAATAACAACAGCTAATTTTACGTGAACTTCTGGGAGAACCAAGTTGACGGGAAGTTGTCTTGTGGCAAGAAGTGGGCCTAAAGTAGTCCTATTTGCATATACAAAGCCCTGAATGAAACACTCTCCTATAGAAATAGAAATTACCACAGTTGCCGTTCGAATGGCAATTGCTCATAGCACGTCTTGAGTAAACATAATCGACAGGCTTAACCCTCACTAATTTAACCTGTACGAGGTAAACACTCAGGCGCTGTTCGTTTTGTGCACAAGTTAACAAGAAAACCCTTTTAAGAAAATCGAAACTATAATTAATTAAATAGTTATAAGTTCAAAATGCATTAAAACTTAATGAAACAAAAACCCTAATTACTATGTACTAATAAGAAGAAAATTGAGCATAATTCATTTTTTTTACATGACCTCTTTACATCGGTTAAACTTTAACTTAAAAATATCAAATATTTAATTAACATTTTGTAGCTTGTTCGTTTATGATCACTCAGGTCTGCCTATTCTTGCTGTTTTGGTCAGCCAGATGTGTTTCGGCTTTTTGCCTACTTCAGTGAAGTAAATCTTGTAATGAAAATATTTTTGAGATAAATACTAAATATTCGTGTTATACCGTGTGCAGTATGTTTACAATAATGCGGAATCAAGGCCCAATGTTAAACTTCGATTTATTATCGTAATTGCGGCATAAGAATTTTTAAAAAAGACGAACATTATGTATGAGATCTTACACTCTTGGTTCAGCTGGGACAAAATCATTAATCATTATTCCTTCAGAAGCTGAATGCATTAGAAGCCCTTGATCCGAGAGATTTATCGCTTTTATCAGCGAATATTTCAATTCCGTCACGCCTAAATGCTTTAAGCTTTAGATTACGTTAATTAATGGACGATTCTGAGAAAGATGTTAGTCCATTTATAGCCAGATCACCCGTTTAATTATATTGCTTCACTTTTTAAAAATGAAAGCTTCATGAAAATTTGAAAGGAATATGTTAAAAAACAGATAGCAGATTTAGTTGAGAAAAAGTTCCAAGTGGTTGATAAGTTTTTTTGCTCAACAAAACTAAACATAACTCATTGATCAATCACAATATTTTATCTATATCAGAACGAATTATTTGGAAGAAGCTAAACAGTATAATAGCACATTCACTTCATTACATGATCTTCAAAAATCTTGAAAGGTTGAACTCAGCTCTTTCACGAAAATTTGGTACAACGTATTTCCAGTACTTCGCTTCTTTTCACACTAGGTTAGAGAACAATTCTGGGTCTGGCAAGAAAGTTCTGCTTGAATTATAGTGACAAATTTTCTTTCAAAAATACCCGAGATTTTCTTCAATTAAGAAGACATTTTCACGGTGTTTTCTGTAGATATAGTTTTTGTGTTCGATATTCCGCCATCGACCCTCTGATTTATTCTTAGACACATATATAAATGCATACACATACATTATACATAGTATGTTATACAATATTTACACCCCCCCGTTTCCCTTAAAAATCAGAACAGGTGACTCATCAACTCACTCTCATGAGTGCCATGCCTCCTCCTAAGGGGACAAGGCCTGTCACTCCTCGACCATGTATGACACACTGAGCGAACTTTTTGTACAAGCGGGACACCTGCGTGAGGTTTGCCTCAGAAGTAAGCGTCTATGTATCAATCAGCTATGAGCAATCCTCAAACCGGTGAGTACGATCCTTTCCTTGCGTTTAAGATCTAGGTGAACGATTGGTCAGTCGTGGTCGCAAGAACTTCTCGGACAATCTGACCCATTGACGCTGCCAACGTTCTTTTATGGCTATTACTGTTCTTCTGGTTCTCTCTGGAGGGCGAGACGTCCCAGCTTTCACCGTCTTATCTGTACGTTCGTTGCCCTCCAGCCCAATGGGTCGAGGCATTAAAACGACTACTGCTTTTCTAAGCAGCTAGGTAGATTGTTATTAACATCTGTAGTCAAACAATCCTTTTCCTTTATAATTTAACACACTATACACATANATCAGTTCTTTCGGTTTTTTTATGTCATTATTTTTTAGCAGGGAAGCTTTAGTTTTAATCATTTTGTGTTAGATAGGGGAAGTTTAAGAATACTTTTATTTTTTATTTCATTGATGGATATTTTGATATGTTTAATTTGTTTGTTTTTAGCTTTAAAAGTTGAAGTTCTCAGACGTTAAAAGTTATTCTGCTATATTTTATTGCATTTGTTCATTAAAACCTTAATACCCCAGAAAAAGAGCCTAAGCAAGGAAAACTTTCTACCAAATAGTTGGTGTCTCTCCACACGGAGAGGCACACAACAGTAAATAAATAGAAAGATTATTATTTTATAAACCCATCACTGAATATGGAAAATCTGATGGGCTAAAATGGTCATAAACGACAAAGTGGCACCCCGCTGACTACGAGAAGAATGCTCACAATCGATTTAAACTATTCACGTTGAGTCTCTTTTACTCTACCAATTTGTTAAGTTCCGCTCTCAGCATATTCAGCGGTGTGCTTAATTGTGGTAATGGTCTGATGACTGTGAGTGGTGCACCTTCTGTAGCAAGTCTGTTCATTTCCTTCAACCCCCCGTGTCACATTGCACCTTGAGGTCGCATTATTGTATTTAGCGCAATGGCGTGTTTTATTGAATACATGTCTTTCAATTTGCTATCTTTACGTTGTAGTACAAAATATAGAATTCATTTGAAAAAGAATCGGACGATTTTTTTAGTGACTATGACCATAGTCCATAGTATGCTCTGAGAACAGAATTCGTCATTTGTTTAATGTGACCAATAAGAAACAATGACCGAAAACATAAAATTCAAAGTATTTAAATGTTAAGAATAACATCAAATATCGACAAGTTTACTCACAAACCCTATGAAGAGAATCAGGGGAAAGCTCATTCTAAAATAACACAGAGGTTTACCGTAATACGTAAATGAGTATAATTTTTTTTATTTATTGCATTTTATTTTCTATAGCCAACATCTTTGAAAATAGATACGCGTCAAAGTCACATGTCATTAAACCCAACTAAACTGTTTTATGTATAATTAAAGTTCTAAATAAAACAAAGTTACATTTTTATTATATTACATTTACAAACAGATGTTTTTTTTATTAAAAACAAGCAGTTTTATTATTGCGCAAGTTGCTTATTTTTGCAAGACGATTATTATTTTATAATGAACGAGTAAGAAAATGGTAGCATACATGAATCCTAGGAGGACGAGGACAAAGCAGCAGCACATGCAGAGTCGTTTGCAGAATGCTGCCCCTTTTCTGACCGGCTGCCGGACTTCGGCTGGGTGCCTCACCGAAGATTCACACGACGAAGAGCTCGACTCGGTCTCATCCGTGTCTCCTCTGTGCCTTTTCTTCTTCGAAGGACGGGAAACCGCGGACTTGGGCGATTTCGCCGTCCTCGACGACTTGGTCGATTTCGGCATTGAGCTCCTCCGCTTCTCGTCACGTTTTCGACTAGGCCGGGCTTTTCTCACGCCATCGCCGGCCGGCTGCGGCGAGTCCTACCTTCGCACCAGGTTGTAAAAAGACACGGTGTACTTATGAAATATCATTTACAAAAATGTGTATACCGTAGAATCTGCAGAATCCTTCCTTTCCATCAATCTCAAGTTGTAACTGCGATATAACTCTCATCGACTGGATCTTTCGCCACCTTAAGTTACGACGCCGATTTAAAAACTCTTCTCCTTTTATAAATAAATATATCATCCAATCGGTCTTTAAGTTTATTTTTATTAAATAAATCATGTGGAATTTTCAGCTTTTTCAAATACCAAATGAAATTGTCTATTAACACGTTCGTGTACTATGAAGACAGTCTCAGCAGCCAGGAAATAGGACGACAGAAGAAATACTTCAAACTAAGTCAGTCCCATCACCCTCTCTCAATAGCGTACACTTTATTTTTATCAATAATTTGCGATAATAATGTATAATTATCAATAATAATATATTTGCGAAGTTTCTTTCTCGAGGTCTGTTTCTGATGAATTTTTGTTTAAATATTTGCCTTTTCGGCTGTCAAACGAATTTATAATATCACCGTCAGTAATGACTAGTCTGAATTGGTGACGGTTCATTGGGATTTTATGTATGTCTCGCATACCAAGCTACCATCATTTTCTGATTTTAAAAATTTAAGTCTGGATACTTAAATATTTGTATAACAGTTTATTTGTTTACTTATTTTGATCTGATGATCGATTCATTTACCTAAGGATCTGTCTGAAAGATAATGGCGCATATTTTTTTTCTATACATTTTTCGAGACTAAATCATAGAAATAGAACGGTAAGGTAAAATGCTATTTCTAATTTTAAAAAATGAAATCCATCCGTACAAATTCAAAACACACATTAGATTCAAAACTTTTAGCCTTTCCGTTTTTTAATATTTTTATAGTAAAAATTTAAGTTTTTCAATAAACAAAAAAATTCTAAAATCCAAATATTTTCCAGTAAACTAGGTCATATATTTTTTTTCTTCGTAAAACTAATATGAAATTTCGTTTTAAAACCTCTAGAGACCCTTAAATATAAATTTTGAATAAATTGTTTAAACTGAAATTTATCGATTTTTTGACCCTAAAGTTTTTCCAATTTTTAAGAATGTCGTTATCGGAATATATGATTAAAAATGCTATAATTCCAAAACGGCTAAAAATATATTAACGTTAAGCAAACCAATTGAAAGAATAGGAACGTAGCTTTTTAACGAGCTATATACCATACAAAATATAAAACATTTTAAGAAAATACACCAAATGGCAAAAACATTTGTCAGAAATTTTTTTTTAATGAAAATAATCGTCCAATTTTAATGTTTTGTAGTTATAAAATACACTTGATAATTTTTTTAATATAAATTATAAGTGGTGAAAATCGGTTCGATATGTCTGAGATTTAATAAAATAAACTTATTCAATTTCCAGAGTGAGGCCCGTGACGATTCCGGTGGTTAGTCCAGTGACCACTTCGTGTAAAAAACGGAATAATTTATTTAATGATCTATCAGAATGTTTATGACGTTCATATATTTTACTTCTTAGACATCAATCCTGTCTAAGTCACAGATTGAAAATCTAATGAGAAAAAAAATCAATTTTCTAATATTGCAAAATTAAATTCACCTCTCCTAATATTTGTAATTGGATTAACAGAATTGTACATTTTATTATTATTTTTTTATTATTATTAATACAGCCAAGCAACATCCAAGGGTTAAAATCTGCCTTGAACAGAAATATGTTTAGGCTGGCGATGTACAAAAAGAGCCGGCCAGCATGAGGGCCCGCCGATGACCTCAGCCAGTGACCAAAATTTAACTCTTACATCACTTAAAAGAAAAAATGAGGCCATTGCAGAAACACTGGCGAATACTTTGGGAGAAATTATGAAGCCCCGTGTGCCAGATAATATGCGAATTAACTCTCCCAATGCTAACTGTTTTCTAACTACCATCACAGTCGATAATAAAATATTTAATGTTCATGAAGTCGAAGTCGTGCACTTGAATTTTGGTGAGAATAAAACCCTTGGAGAAGATGTTGAGAAAATCCCAACCTTGAGCAGAATGCTACAAGAAAAAGGATGGAAAATAAAATTACATCGATAAAAGCTCACGCTGGCCAATAAGGTGATGAAGATGCAGACCGATACGTGAAAGAAGCGGCATCAGATATATCCCTACCTGTGGAATTCGGGACGTACCTAGATTCCTAATCAGATCGGAAGCGAAAAAGAAGAATCACGAAATATGGAACATCCTACGGCCGGAAGCATCAACAGGAAGTCATACTAAAAATTATAGACTATAAATTTATATTAAACTAAAAAATAATTTTTAAAAAAATCATGCCTCGTCTTCTAAATTTTAGAGAGCAAACCAGCTATCCTCAGGAAATTGAAGTTTTCCTACTCTGTGTCCGTCATATGACAAAATCATTCCCAAACTACCCGAAACACCACATCAAGTACAGACAGTAAGAATATGTTAGCGGTTTATTATTATTGATTATTTTCACTAATTTCGTGGTCCGCTTGACAAATTAATATATTACAATTAATTAAGGTTTTTAGTTCAGCTAAAAAAGTCATTGGCACGAGCGGGATTCGAACCCACGACCTTCGGCTAGATACGCCGCTGCTCTACCACTTGAGTTATCGTGACTTCGGACACTAACCTCCCATCTCAACCCCACCTTTTGAATTTTCCCTCCTTAGTGACCGAGTGGATTGAGGTCACGATAGCCGCTGGTAGAGCAGCGGCGTATCTAGCCGAAGGTCGTGTGTTCGAATCCCGCTCGTGCCATTGACTTTTTTAGCTCAACTAAAAACCTTAATTAATTGTAATTATTGATTATATCGATCACCCTGTCTGTCTACTTTCGCAGGGCTAGAATTTCATTCAAACGCGTTTCGGCTTAACGCCATCTTAAATGAGTAAATGGAATGAAATGGGAAAGAAATTTATTTTATTTTTTAGGCACCCTTCGAAAACAAGCCTATCTTGCTTAAGAAGAAAATTTTTAATAACAGATTGGAATTTGCAGGAACACCTTACTGAATTTTGTATATACCGAATCCAAAATCTGATTTCCCGTACATAAAAAGGGGATATTTTATGCGACTAGGCCAATAAAATTGGAAGAGCAAATGGGCACTACGTGGTTGATGGAAACGGCAAATGCTAAAAGTTAAAGCACGAGTGTAAAAAAAACCTATCCTACGTCTATGAATGTAAAGTGAGTCGTAATAATTCTGCTATAACGGTTGTTGAACTCCGAGTAGTTTGAACAACTCAGCTTTGGAGCTCGTACCGAGGAATAGGATAGAGCGGAACAAAATAGGCAGAGAAGGAAAGGAAGAAGAATTCTCCACGGCATCATATTACGGCCGCAACGTCGACAATGAAGACCGGTCGATATGCAATATTTAGTCGGAGGACTGGGGCGGTATCGTGAAAAAAGGCCGGCGCAGGATCAGATCGAAACCAGATGAATACCCTTTATAAATATTATAATTTGTTGTTGCCCGCACCTGTTGACGTGAGTGTATGACATTGCGGCTTGGGACCCGAGAATCCGGGCATTGATTTCGGCCGGTGCGCAAGCTCGTCCTCCTCGTCGGAGCAGTGAGCACATTCTTCTCCCGGCCTCTGGCCAAAATGCATCCATTCTTTTCTCGACAAAAGTACCATTCTCAAATTTCACACCTGTCCAAAAATCCTCCCCACATAAAAAGAAAATTTACCAAGAATGAATGAAAAACAAGCTATCAGAAAGGACAAACCCTACATCCCTCAAAGTCCGATCACGTCCCATGTGTAAATCTTGCGAAAAAGGGCTTTATGGCATTTTAATACTACAGTATATTCATTTGAGGAATACTAATATCGATCTTGAAGATAAATCTCCCAAAGGCCGTTAGAAAGCATTGCAGGTGATAGTGAATTTTAAACAAAGACACTGCTCCAGGATGAAGTTGGGATGTTTCCAATTCGCGTCTCTTTTTTTAATCACACCCGACGATTCACCTCATTCAAACCACTTATGTGCAATACCCAACCCAATTAGAGAAAAAGCTTTTTTAAATACAGCGCGTAAAATCTTATTTCATCCAGGTCTAAATACCGACGTGAATTTTGAGCAGCACTGTCTGGAATTTGTTTTTCAATTTTATGTGGCTCTTGAACGAATGAAACTGTCTAGTATGTCAAAAAGTAACGAAATTTTGGTACACCAATATTATCAATAGGTAATTATATTAATTTTTGCTGATAACACACAAATTATGTCAATATTTATATAGGTTTTTTAGTTCAACCAAAACCATTGGTAATTTTATGTGGTTTAAAAACTGTTGATTATTTAAATGAAATAATTATTTAAATATACCAACTTTTATTTTTTGATCATTATTATTACTACATTAATACATGTTTGTTTATGGTTACTTATTTAATTAAATAGATAATGCAATAATATTTATTTAATAAATGAAGCCAAATTTATTAAATAAATATTATTACATTTATCTATTTAGATAAGTAACCACAAACAAACATATATAATTTTTACTGCATGAAAGTATTATGTTATAGTAAAGAGGTATTCATTCTTCATTACATTTATTTGATAGATTCCATTTTTTTTTCTCTTACTATTTTAGGATATAGTGATGAGAATAGAACACTCACAGAACTTGTAAAAATCCTACAGTTCAAAATACAAGTTGACGTATTTGCTGCAACTATCCCATGTTGTCAAAGTTAGCGAGCTGTATAGCAAGAACGCCAAATAATTTTCTGCTGAAAATATATTTTATTATCATTGCGGTTCTGATACAGTTTGACTTGTAAGACTGTACAGGCAGACATGTTCAATGACCAATCATGGCAATTTTGATGGGTTGTTTTAATTTGATTATTCTCAATTTTAATAAATTTAAGTGATTATGATAAAACTTACCTTTATATGTTTTTTGTTTTATGTTTTTGTTGGTTGAAAAGGGTTAAACAAAAATTTTCTGATATTTTGTAAAAATTCAAAATTGGGTCAATGCATTAGATAAGTTATAACTTCCTATTAAGCCTAACAGAAACTGTATTTTATTGCTTTATGTACAATTTATTAAATAATTATTTTTTATCCAATGATGAAAATAATTTATACATTAATTTCAAAAAAATCTATTGAAATAATTACTAGGTTTGAATTGGAAAACAAACAGTTTTTAAGTGTATTAAATTAATTAAAAAACTCTATTTCAAATTTGACATTTGTGTAATACCCTTACACAAAATATAAATATTTTACTAGAAACATTCTACCGAGTGTGTTTATTTGAAATGAATGACACTCTACTAATTGTAAATTTGGGTTATTCAGGGAAGAAAACAAGAGTTTTGTTTTTGAATTTGTATTGAGATAAATAATCAAGATATTTAATATTGTTATACTGGCAATAAAACGCACCACTGAAATGTTTTGTTACAATTATTTTAAAAATGGTAAAGTTGTGAACAAATATGGATTCCTTTTAAGTCTAAATAAAGCAATTGTATTATAAAATTATCCACTTAATAGTCTAATTTGTACAATCGATTTGCGTTAAAACAACATGCAAATAATAACTCTAAAAGTCTATACTAGAAAACTACCAAAGATATTTACAGTAAATTAAATGAGCTTGTACCGTACATTCGAAAACCTCGGCTTACAAAATTATTTAAGACTTTCCAAAAGATTTGAAAAGTCAAAAACAAGTTGGTAAGCGGCTTACTTATAAAATCAAACACGACTCCGATACGGAGCGATACAAAATCACATTTAGCAACTGAACCCAATCTTCGATAATATTCTGTATACAATCTACTTATTAAAGCTTGACAAATTGGAACTGGAAATTCTCAAGGAGGGTATGTACTGACAAGGGGGGAAAACCATATTTTTATGATACAAAATTTTATAAAAAATTGAGATAAAGCACTTAGTGTGGTATACAAATACGAAATAGTTGTAAAAATAAGCTGACATTTACAATTCGTTCTTCACGCTATCGTAAGCACAAAGTGGTGTATTGTACAATTAAGGCACATTTTACTATGCAAATATATATACAAAATGCATAATGATCAGACTGAAAAACCACAGTAATTAATAATCAAGTATTATCAATACAGTAAGCACCATTTACAACATTGCTTTGTTCGGTTATCTTGATAATTTATATTATATAAATTCAACATGAAATAGTATTGAAATAGAAAACTTGTATCACTTTTATACAAAAATCTCCAGAAATTAAAATGTTTACTAGGTAATATCAGTTTACCTACAGGAGCGATTCCATACAGATTGCCACATAATTAAAGTTAATATTTATATAATAATTTATATGTTTTATATGTATAAATATATTTTCATATTTACAAACTCTTATTAGGAAAGCTGAGAACTCGAATTGACGTTTTGGAGAGGAAGCTCAAATCTCTGGATTCTCCATTTATCTTATTCCTGTCAGAACTGATAGAATATTTACAATGTGACTGCATTCTGCAGTGATAAGTTGCTCCCTTTGTCAGTGTATCAATGGTATAGCGCCAATTAAAACTGAAAAAAACAATTTTGTAACAATCTCACAAGCCTGTTAATCATTTAGACAACATGAGCTTGTTTGGCTGCCCATTAATAATTAATTATGCGTGGTTTTATTTGAAGTATTTTTACTCTTTTCATTTCATTACTACACTACAACTGTGAGTTTTTATTTTTTAAATGTGCTAAAGAGGAGCCACTAAATGGAACTGTATTTGAAATAAAAGGTTTGGAGAAAAATTAAGCTGATTACTTCAACTGAAACCCCACATAACTGTTATTTACACATAAGAGCACTTACTATATATGTGTCATAATCGTCTCAAAGATGATACACCAAGTGAGGAATGTTTCGACCTTCTTGTCGGCTGTACAGACATTGGGGCAACGTACTGTGGAGCGGGAGGTGAACTGTTAGCAAGCTCCTGAAACCATAATTAAAAATTAATAATTTTTATTTATTATATTTATATACATTTTATTTATTATTTGTTAATTGATTTTTAAAGCGTTTTTTTTTTTTAATTTTGCGAAGAATATTAGATTTTAATTTCATAAGAGCTCCCAGGGGTCCAAAAGGCATTTAAGAAAGGAGAAAGGAAACACCCACCCTAATTGTTGTTAATTGTAATTTAGAAAGAAGAACTATGGACATTATCAACATCATCATCAAACATATCAAACAAATCTGTCCAACTTTTTTAACTTTTTATTTATTGAAACCAATTTTACAACATATATCAATCGAGTTAAAAAATTTTTTTAAGCAATCTTTATGCCCAGCAGTTTATAAAACTTGTTAATATGTCTTTTAATATTCAAATACTTTTTTCTTAAATAAAATCATGTCATACAGAAAAGTCAATTACACCATAACTTCAACTTCCACTACACATAAAAATACTTCAAGTTGACAAAAATGATCTTTTATTTGAGCCTCTATCTTACTTAAAAGATTACACTAGTAAGAGTAGGAATTTCTAATTAAGTATATCCAGAAAACTGAAAAAGCTTCTTACCTTTCCAATTCTTATGTTATAAAAGATTTAGTCATGCATCAAAATCGTTTAGTCTACATCGTAGCCATGCAATTAGCAGCAAATGCAATTTATCTACTTCGGTGTTACAGTCCTCCCAAGTATCGTAAAATCAAGTATAACAGACAATCCGAGTGAAGGCTTACATCTAGAAAATTATTTTGACTTAGAAAATATTTATTGAAGACAACGCTTCAAAGTGAGAAGCTCTCAGGCTTTTCCAGCACTAGGAAATAAAACCTATTGTATTCTAAATAAGAGGGGCAAAAACCATTTTTCACCGTCACTCACTGAATTTAACATTCTATACAAATTCCTTGACAATGATAAATGATATTTTGTAGCAATCCATCAATTGTTTATCATACGCATTGTTCTTAATATCAGCATTCCGATCACCGCATTGTTACAATATTTAAGGATTAAGGGTATTCAAAAGGTTAATGTTTGAACTATACAAGTAATTATTTATAATCGCTAATATACAAGTTACTGTTAAATTAATAAATCATTAATTTATCAGACTTATTAATAAAATACTTTTTTTGTCGTTTTCATGTGGTTATGTCCCAGTCAAGAACTACTCCAGGACTTTAACAAAGTAACCTGTACATAAATTTATCCTTCAAACGTATCCTTCAAACTTATTAATGTCTAAATAAATAAGCAATAATTATATTTTATTAACCAAATTTAGTGGTTTTAGGCAGGTAAATTTTCTTTTCAACTACTGAATCAATAGAGGGAGAAATTTATCGTTTCCATGCACAGGGTGAAAATCAACCTTTTTTCCTCGACAGAATAAAAATCACACTTTTTAAAAGCAAAATTGGTAAAATATCATCCTCATTTCTGTTCATGGCATAAATTTGCATATTCACCATTTGCAAACAAATTGAGTAAATACTACACTGATATAAACTGCTCAAAAATTAATAGGGAACAATGAACTCTATTAATTTTAATTAAATTAACCGATATATTAGTTGGATACAAACCAAAAACAAACAAATGTTAATCCTCATTTTTAATAACGGATTTACTTAAGAATATTAAACATGAAGATTATTCATTTTTTAACAAACACCTTTTCTCGTCTTTTCTCCATTTTAATACAGTTATATTCTCTTTAACCATGGAAAGACATCACCTTGAACCAGAAGTTCGCAATATTATTGAGGGAATAAGTCATCGTGGTCTGCTGTGCTTTAGGCCGATTCCGAGAGACTTTAAATGCCAAAAGGAGGCCTGGTAGTGGATTTCAGCGCATTACGACGCTAAGAGAGGACAGAATTATGCAAGACGGAACCCTAGTGCCCGCCAGATCCTAAATGAAGAACAAGATGTTTTGGCAATGCCTTTATCAACACAATGTTGGCCTCGCATAGTCCCTTTGAGACAATCTGCAGCAACATCCCGCCACTAGCAACTCAGGAGAATATGGCGCAGCGAGCGCCTACAAGAGAACACCAATTGGAATGCTGTTATGTTTACTGATGAGTCGTGTTTCTGTCTGTACGTATAACAGGTGCCGAAGAGTTTACCAAGGGACTGTGTACAATGGCCCAGTTTGTGCCCCCTTCATGCAGTTCGAGGAGAAGGTATAATGGTCTGGGCTGGGATTTACACTGGAGGACAAACTGGACTCCATTATTGTTGAAGGCAACCTCACAGCAGTCCGTTACATCCAAGAAATTATTGAGGATTACATTTCTCAAACCAGGGATCTCATTGGCAGCGATTTACGATTTCTGAATACCGTCAGACCTCTTAGGAAACCTGGAAATTTTCCATCTGCCCCTTCTCCCATTGGCACCAGAACTCAATCTCATTGAGCACATCTGGGATGAGTTGCAGAGAAGGCTTTTCGATCACCATTCGCAGTCAGTTGACCTGCTACAACTGAGTGCAGCATTGCGACATTTATGAAGTAAAATACCTTATGAAATTAGTGACAACCTTATTAAAAGTATGCCTAACAGGTGCACAGAGGTCGTAGCTGACAGAGGACATTGTATACGGTATTAATTGTTTAAAACAATTGTATCCAATACACAAAATTATGGAATTAAAACCTTTTATTTTTCAAAATCCCTTAATTAAATTTTCCTTCAGTAAAAAACAGTATAATAAAAATGCTAGTAAAAGTAAATACTACACAATTTACAATATCCGTATTCATTTTTGAGCAGTTTAGATCAAAAAAACTATTTTGCATTCTTGAGGCTAAGCGATGCAGTTAATAAAACATTTCAAAGAAATACGATTAAGAAGTCAAATGGATTAAGCGAGAAAAATATTATTAATCAAAAATTGTAATGAGAATACAATAAATTGTTTTATAAAAGGGGCAAGACATGACATTTTCACAAACAAAACTTGTTCCAAAAACCAATTCCTATTAAAAGCAAGGGTAAATAGGTATAATGTTCTAAATGTATATTTGCTATCAATATGGTTATTTTATCTTATGCACCAGTATAAGCATAGAAGAAATAGAGCCCCAGGTTGAGATGGGTGATAATATATTGGTCTATCAATTTTATTAATATTTTGTTACTCATATATCAACTCTTTTGATATATATCAGTAAAAACAGATTTACAGTCGACTAACTAAAAACTCAAGGAACAAGAAAAATCATTTGAATTATCAAGAGAAGAAAAAATCAAATAAAACATCCATTTTTATAAGTTCTTACTTAAATTATACATAGTAAAAGTAATAAAAAATTGTTAATAGTTCAATTGTAAAATTGAACATTGTTATGCATTATCTAAAAAAAGCACAGTTTGGTTTTTGTTTCAATGTGGCCTGATGTCTTTTGCCCAAGTAAGTTTCCAAAATAATTAGTGCTGAAAACACATCGACAAAACACTGACCACCGAACATAACAAATAAGAGAAAATTCTAAGAAACTTTATACTGCAAAGAAGTAAACTATACGTGGAACATATATAGAGGAACATTATAAGGTAAAAATTCGAATTATAAAGAGAGGAAGTGGTTTCATTTCGATTTACAGGAATAATGCTCTTTTTCTGCTGAGGAACTTGAATTGTCAAGTTTCAAATTAATCAGAGCAGCTTGTATATATATTATTCGGTGATCGTGAGAGGCAGTATTTTTAAAAATTGACACGAATGAATGAAGAAAATTATTTCATTAGATAAACAAAAGGGAAAAAAAATTACACATAACTAAAAAGCAAATAATAGCAAAGGTTATCAACTGTCAGCCGGAGTTGGACCATAAATTTTTAATAAATGTGCGGTGATTGGTGACCGTTAATTAATAATTATTTGGAGATCGTGAGATGCAGACTGGTGTGACGTAGTTTTTGGAAAAACATTTTTATTGTGCCAACATTTTGAACTTTATTGAGATCATCTTCAGTGCCTGGTATTTACAAACACTGTTTAAAAAAAAATTCTTTATTGTGCCAACGTTTCGATCTTTATTGAGATCATCTTCAGGGCCTGGGATGTACAAACACTGTTTAAATTTAACAATTACATGTAGGATGTAGAAAAAAGTAAATTTATACATTTCAAAAAATATTTTTTATATTCAATCAAAGTTGTTTTCTGCTAATATAAAAAATATTTTTTGAATTGTATAAATTCACTTTTTTTCCCACATCCTAATGTATTTGTTAAATTTAAACAATGTTTGTACATCCCAGGTCCTGAAGACGATCTCAATAAAGATCGAAACGTTGGCACAATAAAGAAATTTTCTTTTCTAAAACCTACGTCACACCAGACTGCATCTCACGATCTCTGAATAATCATCGACTAACAGTCACTAATCACCACACATGTATTTATATTTTTAAACTCATGAACACTCATTTATTTTCTTGTTAAATGTAGTAGATGTCGTTTGTGACTTAAATTTGCAAGATTTACAGCCATTGCAACATTATACAAACATATCAGCAATGTCCTAAAGCAGTTAAATGATGGGATCCTAATTTATGTTCTCAGACAGATTCTAAGGAATACCCTATTTTGGGTTTATGGGCTGTCATAAAAAATTCATTGCTCATGCTTCAGAGCAGGAAAAACGTCGTTATCAATCAGCATCAAGACTTTCTCATAGCCTAGAAGACATGAAATGTTTGTACCCAAATTTGTGCAAACTTTCAGAAATATTTGCAACAATTGTTACCAAACAAAAGATTTTTTTTTAATCATCTTCCCTAATTATAATCAGAGAACGTTGTCTATATCTAGCTCTAAGTGTAACACAGGCAAAATACACGTGAAAGACCGGTACTGATAACAAAAGATTTTTTTTTAACGCTGCAGCATCTTTGTGGTCAAGGAATAAATTCCAATAAAAAAGTAGTGTAAAAAATCTTTTAAATTCGTCAGACCTAACAATATGATTTAATCAGGCATGATGAAACAGCTATTTCTATCTCACCGAATTCTATGTCTGGCATCATCTTTAAAAATAAAGAAATGGCCAATGTGTAAGAAATAATTTTGATGAAAGAAATCTTTCAAAATTGCTATAATAAAAATGGTTTTAGGTAATATCAACAAACATTCTTTTAAAAAAAATCAAAACTTAATATCGTTACTTTTCTTCAAATTAAAATGTTACTTTTGTCTTATTATCCCCTTTATTCGACAGTCCGAAACAACCAAAAACACACTTTCATAAAATATATTTTTTCTATTTTTTATTTGTAAATATAAAATACGTTTTATAAAAGTGTGTTTTTGGTTGTCACTGCCTATGGAATAGTGAGTAATATGATAAAATCATAAGCAATGGATTTTCTGTCATGAGTTAATTACAATTTTAATATTTTCAGTTTGGTTTCTTGCTGTATCGCTTAGTCTGTAGATGGCAAAATGATGAGATGTATCTTAACACAATAAAGACCTCAGACTGTCCAAAAACGATTCCATAATTGTTATTACTATTCTCTTTTTTACCACATTTAAATGCTAACAATACAAGTAGAAAGATGAAATGGATAGAAATATTTTTTAAGCGTGCATAAAATAATGAAATAAGATACATAGGGATTTAACAAATATAGCATTACTGATAGCCACGTAACAGAATTGTTCGAGTTTTAAAAAGAAAAAGCAAAATTTTGGAAAGTACACTTACATTTATATTTGTACAGCTCGCTAACCTCATCTGAGCCAGTTGAGTCGCCGGGGTAAGATTTGTCGTAGATCCAAAAGGTGACATCATAGTTGACATGGCGCGTTTGAGTTTGCTCGGAGTTTTATTAAAGCTCAGCGCCCGGCCAACCTTCAGCCTCGTTCTCGTCGCAAACCTGAAATTTGCATTCAGACATTTCTCACACATTCAGGCCCATTTTCAACCGCCACAGACTAATTTGTGCAGTAAATAAAAATAGTGCAGAAGTCTTTCAACGCGACAGCGTGCAAAACAGATGGGAGAGTTAAAAGGCACAATTAGCAAAATAGGCAACAAGTGTATATTTTCATGATACTAAAATTTACAAATTTCCACAAATGAAACTTAACAAAAAAAATAAAATAATTTCATGATTTAATAAAAGTAGTAATAATATAATGATATAACAGGCGCATAGAACAAGCACTAGAAGATTAAATTATATAAATAGCTTTACTAACTTAAAGGCTTTCCCAAGTGTCCCCAGGCCTACATCACTTGTTTCAATATCCAAAGTTTGTGGATCCAATGAAGCAAGGAAATTTTCCTGTGAACATATATATAAATACATTAGCAATATTTAAACAATTTTATATTTTTATTATTTAGAAAATGATACATATTATACATTTAAAAATGCATTGTGAACTAAGTATTAGCAAGTAAAAACATGTTTACTTACAGCATCAGCTCTACATGCATTGTAGGCCGTTTGCCGACAGAGAGTTTTAAGAAAAGACATTTTCTCTACTTCATCATCGGTAATTTTAAAAGAGTAAAGCTTCTCTTTCAGATCCTGTGTGGATCGGCACATTAAGGCAAAAACTTTGTGGCAATCTGAAAAGGTTGTTAATTTTAAAAGTTATTTATTTCAATTGTTTGATTTGAATATTCACCGTCAGTCTCTTTTATGTCAATTACACGCTTTATCGTTGAAAGAGGCATTAGTTTTATGTGTTTGTAAGGCTTTCCATTTGTAAGCTTTCCGGTAATATTCGTATTTGGGCTTTTAAGGGAATTGAATGCTTTCGACCGCCTTTTACATATCTAGACAAAATAAGAATTTATGTTACTTGTTTTTATATAATTTATATGAATTTTTTTTTTCAATTGACATTTTACTTACTTCGACTACATCTGAAAAGACATAGAGAACAAGTGGGTCTCCGCGGCCACTAAGTCCATCGCTCAGCTCGATTACATCACAACGGAAAATAAAGTTTCGATGGGATGACACCAAATGAGGCTGAAAAATATTAATTTAAAAATAATACTCAATTTAATTTAATAAATAAAACTATATTTACAGGGCAGTTATCAATTTCATTAAAAATATCAAACATGACCATCTGTCCTTCTGTTTTTCTTTTGTCCTCGTTAATATGAGTCATGACTTCCCGTATTGAGCTCAAAGCACTTTCCAAGGCTGAATGATCAAGATTACTTTTGCTAGTATGTTTCAGCATATCTAAAAAATAAAATTGTTTGGTCAACATATACATGAACACTATAATCTAATTTTAAATTTAACCAACAAAGAATTTTGTGTTTATCATTTCCATGGAAAAAAAAGTTAAAATAATACCAACCACTTAGAAGTAACGATATACTCGGAAGTCTCTGAACAGGCCGTATCAGCAACTCTTGAAGACTTTGCCGTCCACATTCAGCTCTAGTTTGCCTTGCTTTCAAAAAAGCGTGAAACCTCGGTTTCGACTCATCACATTTGATCAACATCTCCCTGGTATTTTCAAAAAAATTCACAAAAGGCGGATAAGCTTTTACAAGATCGGTGGCCTAAAACCAAAGCCCATTACAGAAATTTTCTATCAAAGTTAGTCTGCTTAGTGCTTACATATTTCCTGAAAATATTCCCGATTGAGACATCTTCCTTCCAGTTATGTGCTGCATGCCGCAGTTCTTCCAACATGCAAGAGTGTGTATGGTAAATTGGTGGTAGATTACCAAAAATTATTTTAAGCTCTGTGGCATTTAACAACTGATCTTCTCCTTCAAGCATCTCTTCAAGAGGTGCTTTGAAAAGCTGAAAATGTACAGCCCTTATTTTAGTTTGTGCCAAAAACAAACTCCCTTTGAAACACTTACATTCATAATTGTGTTTAAAATTCCTACATAATTTGATTCTGTTTGAAGTAGTTCTAAAAAGACCTGATGTCTCGCACTCAGATTTTTCCTAGGCGTTTCAGGTCCTTCGGCTTCAGTTTCTATAGTAAGACTCAGTTACGTAAAAACATATTTTTTAGAAAAGCTAGCAAAAGGGAAGTCTGTGTTACCTTCTTCCAAATCTGGATGAGGACTGGCATCGAGGAAGGACCCACTACAACTAAGAAGAGTAGCATCGGTGATGGAAGATCTCCGTTTAACGGGTTCAAGAATTGGAGATGTCAAAGCGGGCGAACTGCTACCTGGCAAGCGACAGCCCCTCAGCCTTTTTCTTTTTCTTGCTCTGACTGAAGACCCTGGAGTCGAACCGATTGAAAGCCCTGGAGTGACTCGCCCCACATACTGTAACACGTCATAATAAAACAATCATTTCATTTTATCAGTCCGATTTTTCAATCTACGGACATACCGAAGATCCACTGATATCCTTATTATTTGGTGTACTAGGCATGACCTTTATCGACAAATTAGTGTTATGTAATTTCTTAATATAAGTGTTAATTTCAAAGACATTTACCTCTTGAAAAAAGTGGTCAATTTCAGCCATGCACCCTTGATTTTGGACTGACATCCAAAACCATTCTGCTTTGACAACATGAGCCTTTGAAGATGCTTGAGAAGGTGCTGTAGTTGTCGTTGATTCATCAACAACCTAAAATAGTATTTAAAAACAGCCAAACTTTAAAAAAAGTCTTAATTTGTAAACATAAAACAAAACATAATAGTTTACATTGTTTCATACGATGTAAAAGGGAAAGCATTTAATGTCAATTACATTTTGTATTTCCGGCTTAAATCAATTCACAAACAACCAACAACATATCCACTCAGTTCTGTAGAACGGAATCCAAGAAAATTATTCTTTCTGTTCTAAAAGTTCTGGGAACTTTTACATCTATTTACACTCATTTGCATTTTTCAATTTTTAGAATACAGTACTTTTTTCAATTTTTCAGGAATGTTACTTTTTCGTTTAATGCTCTTCAGAAATTAACTTCCTAATCTTTGGCAGGAACAGCTATTCTTGACTTTTATTAAAGCAGTTCAAACAGAGCTGAGGCAATACTTGGAAAAGACAGGGATACAGGTCACAGTAAGAATTATACCACAGATTGTGTTTTGCATGGGACCTAACTAGCCAATAACACTGAATCGTGCACTGATCACTTCCATATAGCACAGCAGATTTCTGCTTCTGGTTGCATTTATGTGGACTGATTTATAATTTTTTCCCCAAAAAAGTCACAGTAATTCTTTGGAGAACACTTCTATGAACACTCCCATAAATGCTCCACCCCAAAACACCCTACCCATACACTGTGAATCTATTAGGATGTGATTCAACAAATTGTACAGACTGTTTGACCATTGGTTGAATTTAAAACTAAATTTTTTAGGCTGAGAGTTTTTAAGTTTTTTTCCTTTGGAAGGTTAGAAATTTTAAAGAATTTGTATAAGCTATTTAAACAGGAAGATTTGTAACTTAATATATCATTTAGATTATTTGGCAGGTTAACAGAGTCTCTATTTGTTATAAAATGGGTATAAATCCTATTAAAAGACATTTAATGAATATTGCTTTGCATGAGTGTACATGTTTTTTTAGCCACAAGAAAACTGTGTATGTAACGTCTTTGACTAATTCTTAGTCTAGACAAAACCATTTTTCCTCATCTGGTTTGTAAAGTGGAGGATTCCCAATTTTTTAAGAGTGTTTAATTTCTCTTAAATTGTTATCAATGGTGTTATACTAAGCTTATTCCCAAGTTGTCCATGTGATGTTAATGTTTAAATTTTTTACAATTAATTAAAACCCTGATTGGGGATGACTTGCGTTTTGTATTAGGCTTATTTTTATTAATACTTGCTCATTTGACTTTACAGCCATATGCCAAATTTGATTTAAGGACCTGAACTGATGCTGCACAGCTGTTTGTGAATTGATCTAACTCCGATAAATATTAATTTCAAAAATCAATAGAAGAGTATAGAATTTGTTTTTAGTTCAACAAACAATTTAAAATGATCATTGTTTATTTGCCTACAAGTTTTAATTTGAATACAGTGAAACTTCCTTTAATGGACAAATTCTGATTCCACAGCGATTTCCCATTAGTTCTTTACTTTAAAATCTATAAAGTGGACGCTCCCAATAATGGATGTGGACAGTTTTTTATATACTGTAATCTGACTCTCCCAAAAGCAGAAAGCAGCCTCCAGAAAATGAATGGTTTTCAAAGAAATGTCATTTCCCCTATGTATTTTGTTTGCCTTCCAATATTCTCCCAATATTCTTAGATTTTAAACCGTCTTGTAAACATTTGGCACTTCGTCAGTGCATTTGACACTTAAAGAAAAAAATTAATGAAATTAAAGTGACTGAAAGTGAAAACTAATTGTATGAGGCTTGGCTGCAAAGTTTTCCAACAGAAAGACCCAGGCAAGAAATAAAAAGAAACTTTAAAATAAATTTTACAAACACGGAATGACCAATTCCACAGATTTTTTTCCAAAAACATCTCTAGTCCGGCCATAGACCAGAATGTATTTGAATTGTTTCAGGCTTGTAAAAATACTACTACTACCAATTAAAGGCCTTAGAAGTTGTAAAGCATTTAGCGCAAACTAATTTTAAATCATCTTCAGTACAAGATTTCTTTTAAGGCTATGAGTGGTACGAAGGACCGAGGTTGTTCAAAACCTGGGCGGTGATACTTAAACAATATTACGTCTATTTTGAGCCCAAAAATATTTTTAATTGCAATGAGACGGCCTTATTTTTTTAGAGCACTTCCAGATAAAACTACACAGTTAAAAAATGAGCATTGTCAGATGGGAAATGATTCAAAGGAGTGTTTCACTTTGTTCTCATGCAAAAGTATTCTCAATAAATTTGAAAAACCTTCTGGTCATAAAAAAAAGAGTAAAAATCCTGTGTTTTAAAGGTAATTGATAATGTAATCCCCATTGTGGCCCATCTTGTAATACTAAGAATTTTTTTCTCTCTCTTATCCCAAAAGCGGACCCCCTGTATAACGTACAATATTTCATTTCCCAAAGAGCGTCCATTATGTAGAAATTTCACTGTATATTTAAAGACTATGAAATATCATTAGTTAATCGAATCAGAGGAACAGTCTTAATTAAAAACATATCATTACACCTTAACCACACTTGAATTAACTTTTGTTCAATTATCCTTTGTGAATTTCCATCATGCATTTAAAGTAAATATTTTCGTTCTCCCTGGAAATTGTGCAGAGATAACACAAGAAAAATAAAAGATACATTCAACTAATAAATACTTCTTAATGTCCCCTACAAAATCATAAAGCATTTTGTCACAACATGAAAGAAGTCGATGACATATTTAGAATGAAACATAAGTTTAGACATGTAAGAAAAAGTTACAACACATACAGCTGATAATTAATTTGGATTTTTTGTTTTGCTAACGAAAATATAATATATTAGAAGTGTCTTGATCTTATACATAAATTACAACATACCATTATATACAGTAAATATACATATATAATTGCATTTGTTATTAAAAGTGACATTCTGCACGGTCTATATTTTGTTTTCATCACCAAAAGAGATAGTGAAAAAGAAGTATGGAACAGTTACCTCTACAAGCTATCCCAACAACATATTCTGTTATTTGGTATAATGTTCTTCAGCGGTAAAAGACGGAAATAAAGCCAGAATAGAGAGAAAAGAAAAAAAAACTATAATACAAAGTTAGTAAATGTTTTAATTCTCATGCTACAAGCATGCACATAAATGGTAAATGTGTCTGCATGAAATCCCAGGCCTGTAATGATTAAGATGTCATGATATTAACAAGAAATATGATATGGGGTTAGCTTATAGAATTAAATTAGCTTCAAATCAGTAAATGGCATAAACAATAAACACTGATTTAAAACTAAATATAATGAGATAATAACTAATAAAACAATACCATAGAATTCATGCCATACTCTTCTTTCACTTCAGTCTGATTTGGAGGGTCTTTTCCTTGTTCATTTACTTGAGGAGGAGGGTCGGTTTTGGCCCCCATGCTCACATCCAAGCTAGATATCCACTTGGACAAAACGCTTGAGGTTTTAAATCTAAGGGACCTTCGTACGATATTAAGCCTTGTCGGCGTCTTGAAATGCAACTTTTCTGGGCAAGGAGACATTTTAAATCTCTTAGCCTGAATAGGGCATTTAATGTCAGAATTTGGAGAAATGTTCTCCTCTTGGTCTTGTGATAGGACCTCAATGGCCTCAGTCAATTCGGCTGTAACAACAGACTTTTCGTGGTGGACATCAGAGGTTACATTAGTGACAAGGGTCTTGGGGGTAGAACAGCTGTGGGGATCTTGGATCGAAAGCTCTAGGTTATGAGTGGGGGACAACTCCGACCCGCACCTTCGCCTCTTCGTCAAATATTTATAATCCTTCTGAAGGACATCATATGTTTCTGCACTATCCAAAACCTGTAAAGTTTAGTAATAACAAGAAAGAAAAGAAACTGCAAAGCAAAAGTTATGTATATAAAAAAATAAAAAATAAATAATAATGAGCTCAATGCAATATTTTTGAGGAGTGCTTTGTCCTTCACATTAGCAAGCAATGTAAGTCAAAATGTAAGTAAGCATGCTTGATTTCTTGTCTCAACTTATTTTACCCCCCAATAAGATTCCTACAAATATAAATTTATCCTTGTTTTCTCATCTATAAAACAAAAAAAATTTTTGGTTTAAAATTTAAAATTATTTAAATTCTTTGCTTTTAATTAATTATTTATGTGAGATTATTATTGCATTGCACTTTATAAATATGTAAATTTTACTTGTGCATGTATTAATTTAAAAAAAAAAACATGAATATATATACAATTTTTTTTAGATTTATTTGTTTCAATTTGCATTTTCAGCTGGCATATTTAGTATTAAAATTTCAACCACTCCCACAATGAAACTGATTAGAAACATTTCAACAATCACATTTGAAGAAAAAAAAAAAAAAAATAGATGTAAGCATTTTGTTAAAATATTAAACAAACCACAAAATCGCCAAAGTTTGTTTTGAGCCTTTTACCAACACGATTTCACCGTGAGTGTTAATTTTTAAGGTAAAATTTGCAGCATATTCAATTCAGTATTTATGTTGAACAACCGCATGCAATAACTGAAGCAATCGGTGAAGTATTAATTTATACTTACAACATGAGAACACAGTGGATCCTGAATATCCGTTGGCACGCCTCCATTTTCAACTAAAATATCTGCCATGTGCTTCCTTTCCTCTTCGGGAAATCCAAGAAAACATACCCTGGCACCATGGAAAGGTTTGAGTTTATGTTCAGCCTGGAAGAAACCCAATGTATTACATGTATTATATAGATATCATCGATTAATCTTAAAAATCAAATGGCAATGTTTTGATAATAGCAATAAACCAGATATACCATGTATGTTGACATTTTAAAATTACTGAAAATAATTTTTTTCCCTGTTTACCTCAAAGTGCACTAAGCAACAATTCAAATAATGAAGAGAAGAATATTCATAAGCATGGTTTCATTTTTATCTGGAATACATTGCCTCTCAAACACAAAACAGGAAATTTTTAACACTCGCACTGCTGTCACATATCTTTTAAGACCCAGTGAATGTTTTTTATTTCCCACCAGTGTGGTCCTGTTATCCTCCATTAAACTGCGTTTCCATCACTTAACGCGAGAATCACTCGCGAAACGACGGTCTCTGGCTAACCATTTCCATAAAGCGAAACAAGGCGCGCCATCAGTTTGTGCAAGACAAGTATGACGTTCGTATCTCATATTCTGCAGCATCAACGTTTGCTATTATGGCGATACTTTATGTTAAGAATAAAAATGAAGAAAACACAACATTTCCTTCCATGCATCCTCTATCTTGTTATTTTGACTGATTTTTATCTTTAGCATCCCACAAACAACAATAGCTCTTGGATAAGTCAAATGCAGTCCTCCTGGTTCATTTTGTAGCTCGATACACGTGCATTTACATGGAAAGGAACAGCCAACGTGATTGCTTGTGCACACCAGCAAACCGGCTCACCCCGAAAGTATCCTCGTGCAAAAAGTTTTAGAGTCTTGGTCATCCACAATGCGAGACAAATTTCGCGAGTGATTTTTGTGCAATGGAAACCCAGATTTAGGTCTTTCTTGAACATAAAGTAATTTTCTTTGATAAACTCATTTTGTAGATAAAATGTTTTTTTCAGTTTATCCCAAAGCTGACCAGAAAATATTTTGTATCGAACAAGCTGCCTTAATCAACAAGTTGGACCATAAGCTCTGAGGTAGATGCTATTTATAGTTTTTCGCTAGTAACATCCTTAAAATGATTGATTAAAGAATACAAAAGAGTAGAAGAAAATAAAATTGCATACAATCACATCTTAGCTTGTTATTTCATTTATATTATTTATAAAAGCTTGATTGATGTAGTCTGCTCTGGTAATGACAATTAATATTTTACCAGATAAGATAAATGTAACCAATTTATATGTGGTAAACATTCAGTGGCAACCAAAAAATGCGAGTGTATAAGCTATGCAAAAGATTCGTAAAACTTTTATAAAAACAAAGTATTTTATAAAAGTTAAGCGTACACATTAAAATTTTTATTTATGACACCTATGCACCTACTAAATAAATAAACATTAAATAAATATTGGGTCTAAAAAGACCGGCCACAACGGGTCAAGTTCCTTTTTTACCGATGGCAGTGTGAGTGTTAGCCAATGGGAATAAATGGGTTTTAGTTTAAAAGCAATAGGCCTCACAAATTATAGAAAACAAAATAGAATGGAAGCGGATGTTCCGGAATTCTCGGACTATGTGAAAACACGATGGCCGAAGAAAATATTGTCTGATTCAGAGTTGGAGATTTAAAGGAATCGGAGCTAGGCTAGGAGTATAAAGCCCCAAAAAGATGTTGCTGGATATACTTCTTTGAGTCAGGTCAACGGTGAAGGTGAGTGATTGGTTCTTCCACGTGTGGTAGCCAGGTCATTCGTGCAGTTTCGCGAGCCCTGTAGCTTAACATTACTGTTTATTAGAGTTGTAAATTTTGACAGGAATAGGAAAATTAAATCACTATAGGAATAGATTTAATAGCGTTATTAATTGTAGCCAATCTAACAACCAGCACTGACATAAAAATAACTTCACTTACCAATCCATTTTGATGTGCATTGTATCCTATTTGTGCCCTCATTGCCCAAGAGTTGTAAACCCATTCTGAAGACATTATAGGAACTCTAAAAGCCACTGCATATTGATACTTCTCACCACCGCAACAATTAGCAATAAGGTGGGTAACTTTTCCAATCATCTCTTTCCGTATGCTTCCACCCATGTTGTGTATGAGCAATATAAGACGTGCCTAATAAAGAAATATTTAATATACATATGGTTAAAAAAAAATTTTATAAATACTTACAAGTTCCTCTTTTTTCCGGAAACCGGTGAAGCACACTACAACTCCTTTCATAGATGTGCTATAAAGAGGCCTTGGGTTATCAGGCAAAGACGCATTGTCTTTCGACAATTCTTTGAGGGCAGTCGGTCCAAGTATTCTAAATTGAAAATGTAATTAAAACAACTAATTAAGTCGTAAGTATAAAAATTATAAGTACCTGTGGCCCCTTTCTTTAAGCCTATCAAATACAGGGCCAGAAAACTCTTCCAATACAAAAACTGTGCAATAAACTGCACTATCAATCCACTCTGATCCATCGAGAGACGTTTCAACAGGGACATTGAAAGCCTACAATTTATTCATATAATTAAAGGGAAATTGGAACTTGGGAAATTTTTTTAATCACAAATTGGTAGTTTTCCTATCATATTTTAACACTGTTTATCAACGAATACATCAACTAATATAAATTTTAAAAATTATTGCGTAACCCCCTCAAAGATTGGTAAATGTTGAAAATTTTTAGTTAATAAGTAGCAAAAATGGTTCACATTGGGAAATAATCACTTTTAATATTTAATCAAAAAAACAATTACACCACATAATTATATTAATACAACTTAAACTTAAAACATAAATTTCCTAAGCTTATGAACAGAACATTGAAAAGCATTAAAAAACCTTTTAAATTTTGGAAGTATCGAATGTATCAGTGTGATTGTGTCAGATGTTGGCAATGTTAGGAGTGAGACTTGTCTTCAAGAAAATTTGAGATTGCCTGTATAAAAATTAATATGTCAATCTGTAGACATTTAAGATTATTTTGCCCTGTTAAAAGAACTCTTCAAAAATGAGAAAGCATGGCATTAACAACTGAGTTTTTTTTTTTCTTCAAGATCATACCTTGATCCAGACTGTTCATGGATTAACAACTTTAACAAAGTTAACATCATAAATTAAGACAGAAGCAATTTAACAGGTGGAAAGCATGTATTTAGGGCTTGAATTATTCATTATATATTAATTTTTTATTGTAGACTAAATGATGCAAAGCAAGTCGAGATGAAAAGTTGTGTCACGAGCAGGGTTCAAACCCACAACTTTGTGAACCCAGAGTGAAAGAAAGTTTCAATTACTCATCGATTCAATTTCTTAATTTTTGAACAAAAAGACAGTAAGAAGTCTAGTTTGCCATAGATTCTAAATTGAATTTAAATATTTAGCATTTTGAATAAAATTATATGAAAAAACACATATACTATATAGGAAAAAATGGAAAGCTCAAGTAATAAAACATTTTTTTATAACAGTAATTAAATAAGGATAGTAACATTCCAAGCCGACTGTCTGTTTGAACAGGAATATTATCGTGTTATCTTTAATGAGATATTACATATTTGTGTGATAACTGACGTGAAAAAAGATGATTAAAAATTCAAGGTGGTGAATACTGAATAATAAAATCATAAAAGAAAAAAGTAAAGAAAAAAAGATATTCTTGTTTTATAATGAGTAAGATGATTGAGCTAGATGCATAATCTGATTTTGCAGATCATTGAATAAAAGAAAGCATTAATTAGCTCTACCCTAATGAACTACTTCTGGTGATGTAAATTTGATCACAGTAGGTCACCATAAAACAGATTACGGATAAACCGATTGATTTTATTGTTTTATCGGATATCTGTCAAAAGATAACTTTTATTATTTTAGCCGCCTTTTGATTGTTGACCTTTTGAACAGTGTAAATAATTGAATAACTACCAATTCCAGCCAGTTAAGGACTGGCCTCAAAGCACTCTGCGTAAATAAATCTGGTTACCCTGGCAGCTTCAAGAACAGACTCGTCATTAGAAAGATTTCCGATCACACAAATCCTGGCACCTTCATCAGGGACATCTGGAAAAAACACATTCAATTATGCTTTCATAATCTTTTAACGCAGTAAAACCAAAAATTTTTTCAAAGAACATTTAAACTAATAATGTGCATAATAAAATCTAGTATTTTTCTTATATGCTGCCTTATTCCTGAAATTTTGTATTAAATGACAATTATCAAGTTACTAAATTTGCCTACTACTACATTGGTGGGTTTAACAAATATATTGAAACTCATGTTTAATGCAACCAAATTAAATGTATTAGTAGCCATTTGTAAACTATTACCAACTTGCTACAATGACAATAAAAACAATACTCTGGGTAATAAACCATCGAAACAAATTCATAACCCAAATTTTAAGTAAAATTAAATATGTTGACAGAGTAATATACTGGTTACCTTAAAAACAATTTCAATTGATTACACAAAACTAAAACTTCACTCTTTGATTGAAAGTCTTATTTCGTAAGTTTAAAAAAAATAAAAAAACAATAATAATCTCAACATTGCAACTGCAGTGTAACACTTTATGTAGTATCATATGGAAACTGTTGTTTTTGTAGTCTGAGAGTTCATAATGAAAGCTGAAAATCTCTGCTAAGATCTCGTTTCATTTACAGACTTAGACTGGAGCAAATAACACCAATCGTGTTTCACAAAATGCTGACATTTACCTTGGATTACCACTGGATCGACTGTCAAATTGCAAGGTGTTATTACATCAGTAACATCTTCGTCGAAATTACTTTGTGTAATTACCTCAGTCGACGACATAGATAAAATGTATTTAAAAATAAAAAACAACACAAAGTTCCAAAATAACTTTTATTCTGTTTTTCCAGTGGAAAATCACATGTTACGAAATAGAGTTTCACATGTGGTGAACTAAAACCTCGTATTTCTAATACTTCTGCCAATAAAAAAAAGGGTAGTTTTTGCATATGAAACAATTTACTAGTAATTGCTACTTTTTTTCAATTACCTTAGGTGTAGTTTTAAAATAGATCTACAAATTTTACTCTAGCCACATTGGCTTCCTAATAAAATAAAAACAGTGGGACGAATGGTCGACTTTTTTTACCTCATGAAAAAGAAGGAATGTCGACTCAATTCTCATTTACAAAATTGTAAGTTTAGCTAGATACATATTGTTTTTTCTAATAATATAACACGATTCTTTCTTCATTGTAGTTTTCTTGATATGGGTAGCACCAGGTTTAGGTTGTTTTTGATTGTGTCCTTTGCACAAACACCAATTTAACTACTACACTATTACATTAATAAATTATAATCAGTTATGGTCCTCTTCTAACACATTTAAGGCATGTTTATTAATCTTGTGAATAACAAATTAACAAAAATATGAAAATTAAGTGCAGTCGGCAAGCCATTGACTTGGTCTAATCTTCAGACTATAGTAACTCTCTCAGATGGGCCAAGCCGAGTTCTGGACAGTCCTCTGTTTATAAAATTGGGAACAAAGAATGTAAATAATTAAAAAAGAAAAAAAAATAGAAAAAGCCTCTAAATATGCCGATTAGTAGATTCAGTTTACTTCTTATGTAATTACATATACGCAATTTATATTCAATTTAATCAAAACAAAATGATTATATGTATTATCAGCTAATAAATTAGAAATCACATTTTGATAAAAAGTAAACAAATCCAATAAACACAAGTATTTACGCAAGTTTGATTTCTGTGAACTGCCTTTATACGACTTGTAAGATATTTATTATGCTATAATCAATCTGCAGTTGCTTTTAAAAGGATTCTAACTGTTTTGATTTTACAAGTGACTGGAAAGGAAAAAAATTCATGTCATATCGATTTTATTTATGCAGTGAAAACAATTATAATTATCACTATTAACATTAAGAAAAATATTTAAAAGTTTTATGAGAAGTTTAACATAGAAAACTTAAGTTGGATTTAAAGTAATACTTTTTTTGACAATGATTAAAAATATTTAGTTCTTTTAATTCAAATTTTATTTTTTAAATAATTTTAATTTAATTTGGTGGTGAAAATATTTTAAATCTATATTGTTTTTGTGTTTTTCCGAACTCTACACATCATTTATTTTTATAGCATATGCAATTTTATGCATAAGCAATTGAAATATATGGCATAAAAATATAAATGGTGTTTAGTTCAAAAAAATAATCAACATTCTAGGTTTGGTTCTTCAAGTAAAGTAGGCCAAAATTCCTACCTGAACGATGCTGGTTATGTTATTAAAAGTAAAGTAAAGTAATTCCTGTCAAACAGGATGGTTTAACGTCCAACTACCTGTTGGGTGTCCCGAATGAGGGGCCAATGAATAATCCGTCTTTCATACTATTCTCAATTAAAAAAGCCAATGGCTGTGCCGGGATTCAAACCCAAACTGCTAACGTGGCAAATGTGAGTCGGACAACCTAACCACATGGCCATCTTGGTCCCCCAGTTATATTATTATTATGTTAGCCTTCTCATTGTCAGCATTGTTGCAAGCAACACCAGGAGGAAGTTTTATGTCAATGATGAGAACTCCTAATTCAAACCACTGAAAGGTGGATCAAGAGAGACGATTACTTTAGGAATCACAAAACAATATTTGCAATCATATAAATTACAATCTGAAGGCATCATTTTCATGCGTGAAAAAGTGATCGGTGTCCTTTTAATCTGACAGCTCTGAGAGAGTTCGATACAAAAAGATACTGAAACAATAAGCCGTATAAGTTAACAATTTTTTTAACATGTCTACTACCTTCAAATGAGCTAACTTTTGGTTCATAACTTGATATGACATGACATGACAAAGCATGCTTTTGTAAAATGATATATCTAAAAAAGGAATGATCCATTACGATTTGTAACAAATGGCCTTCAAATTAACATGAATCTTATCTGATAAGCTTTCCAAAGTGTAAATGTCTTTTTAAAGGTAATCGAAAAAGTAAAACACATACATTTGATTTAGAACTTGCAATTATTTTACATAACTGTCAGTTTAATTAAAATGTAATAACGTTTTTCCAATTTTTCACTCAAATCTAGTCATCCAAAATTTATTTTGATTTTTGCGAGGTGTCTCAGCAGAGTAGCAATGGAAATACAAAGGGAAACATTACTAAAATAGAATACAGAGTCAGTACATGACAGTTAATAGCATAATTATCTAAATTAACACCGGCACCCTGAGGGTTTATATGACCTCTGCTGTTGCGAACCCTCGTTAAAAAAAAAAAAAAAAAAAAAAAATTATCTAAATTTTTTGTGACACCCTTAATTATCTTGATAAATATGTTCCTCTGATTTATCCATTTTTATAAATTTTAACAGATTTTGGTCCTCTTGGAATCAAACAACTTTTATTATCATTAAATTCAACACCGGACTTAAACTCATTGACTAACTAAAAAATAAATTTAAAACACAAATGAGTAATGTAGGGGAAATTGTGTTATTAATTATCAATTATCACTATCCAAGCAGTGGAGATTTTGAGCTTATCACCCTACACCTGGTTTTCATTCACTTTTCAGAATAACATTCTGTTGTACCATTTTTTCATCTTTTCTAACTTACGTTGAAAGAATAAAATAATTATTCTTGAAAAAAAAATCAGTGTCAATATATATGATATTGTTCTTTTCAAATCTATCACTTAGGTATCATTTGCTTTTCTTTCCTGGTTACCATTTATGAATGTCTTTTTCATTTGAGCCCTTTTATTGATTGAGATGAAGCGTACAACTATTTGATTGACTACACTCTTGCAGTAAGTACAAGCTCCAGATTTCCAAAGTTGGATGATGGCGGTTCTGACTGCCTTCTCAACGTCAATGAGCTTTAAAATTGTTGCATTGAGTCTTTAGGGCAAAGGGAAATTGATCAAAACTGTCAGTTCAGCAGTTCTGAGATGTGTTAGGCCAGTTAAGAGGTGGAGCAAGGGAGAATTGATGAAACCTTAGAACCATACATCACATCATCTTCAGCACTGTAAAAAGCGTTTTTTTTTAATATTCAGAAATTAATATATTAATTTGTAGAAATGAAAAAAGTCTTTAATAGCAAAAGTACTTATGTCTTAACTGATCAAAACCAACAGTCAAGAGGTTTGAATGACATTAACGGTTTAGTCCTTGAATATTAAAATGGTCCAAAGTCTGAACGGGAATAACGAAACATTTATAACTGTTTGCCTCTTCAATATTTGCTTGATATTGCATTTTTTTATGCCACACTTGGGCAAAATTTATGTCTACTGACCAAGATCAGCAGTTACAATATGATGAATTACTGCTAGTTCAAACCTATAAAAGGTGAATCAAAAGAGAGAAAAAATTACTGAAAGAAACAAACCTCGAAATAACATTTTACATGTTAAATCAATCTGATAAACTACAACAAAAATCGAAACCAGTCATGAATGTGAAATGAACGGTAATCTGATGGAAAGTATAGTGATACGGATAGGGATAAAAGAGGCGGTCACAAGGTGTTCTGCACCTCGACGTGAGTAGATTGAATGTGCTCCTCTATTTTTATAACTCACTGGCCAGCTTCACTGGTCAGGTTGTTAATCAACTGCCTGCGGCTACTGCTGTATGGATAAAAACCATAAAAAGAAGTAATATGCTTTTGAGGTCCGACATACTTTTTTTTTGGTGGACTCCTTCATCAAAGATTGAATACCAATGATTTGCTCAGTTGGAAAAAATCAAATCATAAAATAATTAGTTCGAACTAAAGGCTTCATTGATATTCAACTTTTGAAGAAGTTAATACATTTTAAAACCCAACTGCCTCTAAAAGTGATTAATAAAAGTTAGAAATAAAGGTGTATAGAGGATAAACAATTAATCAAAAAAGACTTTTTCTTCCCTCCTCCATTTATTACAAATAGAGTCTCAACAGGCTGGTTTAACAAAAAAGTCAAAAGAAAATTACTAGTAAATCATTAAAATTTCTAATAAAAAATAAAATCATAACATCTAGAACTTAGACCTTTTACTCCAGCAAGAAATTAGTCAGTTTTATTTTAAAAACACAAAGTGAATCAGAGAAGAGGTCAGCAACAGGCGAGGCATGAGAATGTGTTATCTCAGAGGATCTCCTTTTCATCACAAGAAAAGGTACTACTCTATCTAGAAAAGGGGGCGTCAGTGGCTGCAACGGTTTGGGTGTTGACATGGTGCTCAGCACTGTAGGGTAAAGGTCCCGGTTTCAAATCCAGCAGCCCCGAAAGACCCATATAACTTCAGTTGAAATACCCTCATTTAAAAAAATCTGTCCAGAAAGGATTCGTTTCTGTTTTGGCAAAAAAGTGTTGAGCAAACTTCATAACTTCGACTTTTTTGGTGGCCATTTAATGCATGAGAACTTTCGAGCATTGTCACCATTTTAAGTTGGTCAGCGATGGTCGATTTGTTAACTGAAAGATTCCCTGCAAGTTTACAAACAGTTGTTGTGGGATTTTCTTCAACCAAAACTCGCAGAACATCATCATCTAGGGATGAAATCCTTCCACAACCTTCTTTGTCTTCTAAAGTTTTCCTCTTGAAATTTTTTAAACCAACTCTGAACAGTGCCTCTCATTTACACTGCAAACGCCTCAGACTTCAACAGAACAATTTCACGGAAAATCTCGTGTTTATTTATTTTATTTTTATTTATATTTATACACGGGTCAATACCCAGTGTTGACTGATGACTGATAGAAATTACTAGAAATTTATATCCTGGATATGTATACGACAGTTCTCAAAATGTGAAACTTGGAATAAATATACGACCCGTTTTACATACAAGATAGATTTTTGTGCACACTTTTTCCCTGAATTTCATTCTGCACATAGTTGATTTTATCCTGTCATGATGAAAGCATCAAAATGCAAAATTCTGTGTATTTATTCGAAAGATGAAAAGGAAAAAAACTTTCTCTACAGGTTTGAGAATGGGTTTTGAGATGCAAAAAAGCCGGAGCCTACAATTAATTAATGTCAGCTTAGTATTGAGGATCCAGTTCAGTTTTGAAATTTTTCAAAGAATGAAACCTGCTTATTTTCAAAAGCTCAATTGTAAAATTGATCCTTATATCAAAACAAGATACCAAATTTAGAAAAGCTATTAGAGTGAGAGAACGACTTCCGTAACTTTGCAATTTTTAGCATCTGGTAAGTACTACTATTTGATAAAAATTGTAATTTGTTTTTAATATTTAAACTTTAGATTTAAACTTTGTTTTGCCATTCATTTTACGCGACATTGCAATGGCAGAAAAGTAGATGAATGGTCAACTTTTGCGACAAGAGTTGAAGAAGGTTGAACTTGCAACTAACCGGTGTTTCCATCGATTGTTATAGAAGTGTCGACCCAAATAGCTAGTGGTTGAAATATCTGACATAAATTCTTCACTGTTTACATTAGCCACGATTTATGCCTGATATAAACACCACGCAATAACTGTCAGATGTAAACGTACCTTTAGTAAAGATTATTCCTAAGTAATGAAATGCTACTGAGGTAAACTAACATTGTAGTTTGGAAGAGGATTAAAAAGCATTGATAATTGTACAAAAGAATAATCCATCAAACATACAGTTTATTATATAAAGGGGTAATTGGAAGAAAACCTGCATTATTTTCCAGACTACCGAATAGTTAGAAATTTTTTTAAACTATAGATGACAAAACCATGACTGAGGACCACAAGAACTTGGACTGGTATATGATGAGAGGAAGATCATCAAGTCCTGGATTCTATGAGGGTGACACCATAAATGATGTTCATATTCAGGAGAAGCAAAATTAAATATGCAATTAGCTTATACGAAAGGAAAAGTAAGTCGTCTGTCGAACAATTATTTTCAACGTTAATATTAAAAAGGAGAGGTGAGACTCATGAATATTTTACGTTTTGGGTCATGCGTTGTGGTTATTAGTGGTCGTGAATATTGGGCCGTCGAATCGGTGGGTTTGTTTTGTCCCTTTTCCTTGACGGCCTGGCGACAGTGACAACCACGTCCTCGTCAAATGCGACGTTTCAACTCGGAAAAAGCGTAACTCACGGTTTAAAAATAAAATGAATAAATCCCGAGATTATGAATGAGATGGCCTTGGTCATCCAGGGCGCAACGTATCTCGATTTTGGCCCTTTCCAAACGTTCTTCGGCCGTTTTCAAAAATCAAAACATTCGTAATTTATCGATTTTGACTGTTTTGAAACAGGCCGAGACGGGTCACGTTTATCAGTGGGCAACGATGAATCTGTCCAGTCGTGAGATGAAATTTCGACATTCTTTTTTTACAAGGGGGAGAGGTTGAATTTGATACTTTTTTCCGGAAGTAGAAACGTTTCGAAAGTAATTAAATTGATTTACCGATTTTGGCCGAGTCTTCGTCGACGTCGCTGCACTCCATTTGTCTCCTGGTCTCGGCTGGGTCGTCCATGTTGGCGTGGGACGGCCGGTCGACTTTCGGGACAAGCGAGGGTCAGCGGCGGAATGCTGCGGAGGCGGAGGGGGCGGTGGAGGAGGCCGGGTGCTGGATCATCCCAGGCGGAAGGCGGTCGGAGGCGGGCGAGGACGGGAGGACAGTGGAAAACGGATCGCGACTGGCACTGGCGGCGGCGGACGGCTAACGGAACGACTCGGATCGCGGCTGGAAGGGCGCGCCACCGACAAACGCATTTATTTTAGCCGACCGTTCGAACTTTGTCCGTTACAGCGAGGGCAACCGGCAGAATCGTTCGACCCTCAGGCCTCAACTCGTCAAACTCTCAGCGCTCCCAAAGTCTCCACGGAATTCGCATTTCGCCAACGTTTCAATCAACATTCAAACAGTAACGACAAAACAAAAATAATCAATCGATCGTTTGATTAATTGCAACGAAAATCTATTCATTTGATCAAAGTATAAATTAATCGATTAACGTCTTAATCGATTTATATTTTAAATAATAAACCGCCAAATAGTAGATTGGCACAATATTATAAAGTACACACTGAAGAATTTTATTCCAAAACATTGTACAGGAACTGCTCTAAATGTTTCTTAGATATTTCAGAACAGTCCCGATATTAAATTTTCGGTATCTTTGGTATTTGTATAAAGTTTTGAAACATCTCAACGCACTACACAATCCGAATGAGAAGGTTTTTGTGATATGAGACACTCCTGAGCAGATCGAGGCTGCCAAACCTAGGGAATAAACTTGGTCAGGGCGGTCCTGGTGACTAGGGGGTAAAGAACTAGGGGTGACTATGGAAGTGTGGATACGGACTACGGAGGATTGGAAATCCCCAAGGAGGTTACCCATGAAGCATAGCATTTTTATGTTTTGCTGTTTATTAGATATTTTTAAAGGAAAATATAACATATACCTAAATAAAAAAATTAAACTGGTTAAAACAATTTTATCAAAAATGTTGCTATGGGAACAATGAAGAAAAATTCAATTCAGTACCTCACGGCTCACGGGTTGTAGGAAGTTAACACCGCTGTTACCCGCATGTTTTCAATCTTCTACAGTACAAATAACATTGTGACAGGTGAAATATTGAAATTATTATCCTACTGATTTACATATTTTCTTTTAAAAAAATATTTAACTGTACAAATGTGCGGTGATTAGTGACCGTTAGTCTATGATTATTCGGAAATCGTTAAATGCGGTCAGACCGCATCTCACGATTTCCGAATAAATATTTCACTGTACACTAATAAATATGTCAATAGGTAAATTGACCTCCCACTCTTACATGTCTGTGTACAAAATGTAGCTTTTGAGAGTATCAACAGACTCCTGAGATATAAAGAAATAAAACCAGACCTAAGAAGGAGCCGCCACAACATTCTATAAAAACTATCTGTCTTACAAAATGAGAGAAAAGCTCAACTTTGATAAACCCTTCCTAGTGGACATAGACAATCAAGACATTTGGAAAAAAGGAGGTATGAAGTTTCAAGAAAGGCGTACTCTGATGGATAAAAGGGCCAAACATCACCGTACCGAAGCCCCTTGGACTAACCCCAACAATTTTCCAAGCTGAAGTCCATGCAATACAACTCTGTGCATAAAGAGTTAATTAAGTTCACAATGAGTTAATAAAGAAAAAAATATGAAAGGTGCACAGATATACATACTCTCAGGCAGCCGTAAAGTCCTACCCGTCCTATCAGGGGTATAGCAGCCCCTTTCCTTGCAAGGGCGTCTGCTTTTTTGTTGCCTTCTACTCCCGCATGTCCTGGGATCCAACAGAGGCTGACTTTCTTTGCATGCCTAATTTTTTAAGTTTAATTTTGCAATTCAGCACCATCTTTTAGCTAATGATGTTTGAACTTAGTGCTTTGATAGCTGCTTGGCTATCTGACAGGTGGTTGGTGCCTTAAGGAGGTATTTTTCTCTTTCCCGTTCTTTTTTTTGTACTTAAGTTTATTTGGAAATTATGATTAAACTCAGACATCCTGTTCATGTCTTTCTTGGGGCCATGAGTATCGGATGGTCTTTCGTTAAACTGGTGCTGTCTTTCCATTTCAGTTTTATTTTTATTGGAGGTTTCTATTTAACAATGCAAATTAGTTTTATGTGCTGTCCTCATTATCATGTGGTGGAGGGTGATTAATCCCATATCTTCAGTATACCAGCGACATGTTCTCATCCCAACCATTATAGATACATGCAAGTCTGTATTTTTGTAAGCTCTCTTCATTTTATTTGTTCTACTTTATTGGCTAAGGCCTCATCATCATGGTGTACATCCAGAACAGGGTTTTCCAATCTGCATCTCCAATTTTCCCATGATATTCTTCTGTACACCATTAAAGCTCATGACACTTTCTTGATAATGGAGGAGACGATATGTTCCTTAAATGCCAGGGTTTTGTCTAATGTAGTGCCTGGATGGATATTAGGCCTCTTTCTTTATTTCTATCATAGTATTATTTCATTTTATCTGCCTCATGTGATCCAATTTTCCAAGTATCGTTATAAGTGTAATTGTTTTTTTTTTTTTTTTACAGATGGCCACACCTTCAGTAGATGACACAAGGCCATTTGAGGGGTTGAAGATATCCGAAAACTGGCGAAAGCTCCAGACCCTTGATGATAGAAGTGTATGTGAAAGATGCAACAAGTCTAGAAAATACTTTTGCTACACCTGCTACCTCCCTGTAGCCGAAATAAAAAACGACGTCCCTAAGATCAAGGTTTTAATCAAATTATTAATTGTAGTTTCGATATTTTCAACTTGTTATTTTATTTTAAGCTTCCTTTAAAAGTAGATGTGATAAAACATTGCAAGGAAATCGATGGGAAAAGCACTGCCATCCATGCTGCTGTCATCTGCCCAGAAGATGTCACCATTTATACATATCCGGCAATACCAAATTATGATCCTGAAAAAGTGTGTAGCCAATTGTAAAACAAGTAATTAATTATTATTTTAATTATTTCTATTAATTTTTTAGACCTTATTGGTTTTTCCTGGTAAGGAAGCAAAATCTTTGGATCACTGGATGTCCAGGTTGTGAAATTTTATTATTTTTCGTTAAAAAAAAATTATTATCCTAAATTGATAGATCAGTGAAAGAGAGTGAGGATCAGATAAATGGTCATCGGATAAACAGGCATTCTTTATAGGTCCAGAATGGGAAATAAATATTTTAAATACAAAAGTGTGTAGACTTTATAAAGGGGCTTTTTATGGATGAGTCAAGACATAAAATGGTCCGGACCGACAGTGGCTTCTGTATCTAAAACTTAAAACTAATGTTCACTGATGCACAAAATAAATGCATCACCCTTAAATTTTAATGTATTTAGGTTAGGAAGTCACCCACAATACATGCTCTATGGGGCCTGGCATTAAAGGGCTTCTCCTCTAAATATATATATTTTTTCTTTGAATTTCCTTGTTCATTTTCATTCCTTTGTTCAGTCATGCATTTGTTGAAATTAAATTCATGGTTCATATATGTATGTTTAGACATCCATCCAGTTCTGGATTCATTTCTACAATCTAACATACTATTCTTGTATGAAGGCTGTAGGGTTTCAGTTTTCACCTACATACACATTATCCAGTTATTACATGGAATTCTATATATCACATGTGATTGATAATAAATATGTATGTTTCTGGGGCCTATAATGTTTAACTTCGACTTTTGTAAATTTTTAGATGGACCATCTCTCCAATATAAATCTTAATTTGTATCTGAAAAAATGTATTTGTAGCCATTATTGTGGTATTAAAACTTCTATTTTGTTTTATTTAGACCCTGAAGACATATAACGAAACTTTGGAACTTTTGTGGAGTTTTCTCCATCCATTGAATATTTACCTGATCCTCACTATTGTTAGTGTTATTTTTCTTCATTAGGTTGTTTTATGAATTTTTAAAAAAATCTTATTATTTATTACATTCCGCAGGCATAGACAACCAAAAACCACAATTTCATGAAAATATTTATTATTTTACATAGATCGATTTTAGGATCCTGCCCGCTCCCTATCTTCAGCCATTTTAAATCAAAAGCTAAACAAAACATCAAATTTTTTTAAAAACTTGTTTAATAATTTATTAATACAAATAAGGTAATGTCCAATTTTACATGGAACACTAAAGGTTACAATTTACAACTTGGCTATGATATTTCAATTGCTGCTGTTGTTTGGTTATCTCCTATGGAATATAATATATAAGATAAAAAAATGAATCATTTTTCATATTTGATCATTTATCTGATTTTAATGTTTTTCCCTAACTTTATTATGAATCAATTATATTATAAAAACTAATTAGCAGTATCTCTTATCTGACCTTACAACAGAAGGTTCATAAAAAGAGGAAATTATAACCAAAACGTTTGATTATGAAACAAATATTTTAATAATTAATTAAATGTTGCTATGGCCTCTAAATAATATTTGTTTTTTAATTGTGTTTAGGACTGAAGTAACATTTGAGAAAGTCATTTTCATTGACTCGACATGGAATCAGTGCAAAGGCATTTATAAAGATGCAAGAATTAAACGTAAAGTTAAACATAATTAATTTCATGTACTACTGCCATTCTTGCTCTCCCAAAACCGATAATTGTTTCCTTTTACAGGGTTGCCTTGTGTAGTTCTAAGAAACCGTATAACACAATTTTGGCGGCATCAAAATGGAAGCCCGCGCTGGTATTTGTCCACGATCGAGGCTATCCACCAGTTTTTCTTTGAGTATTGGTTACTGGTTAATAAAAATGAGCAGCTGAAATCAACATATAATGGAGAATATGACAACCTATTGTTCTTTTTTAGATTTATGTATGATATGATTCATACACTTTATAATCATGAAACATTAAAATCATACAAACGACCTTTGGAATAATGTGAATTAGATTTTTATGAAATATAATTTATTAACACGTTTTTTTAAATAATTGAGTTCACACTCTCACATGAAACAATAAAGTCAAAACCAAGTTTTGTTTTAATTTAAAAAGGTTTGTCCTTACAATATTTTAAAACAAAAACAACATAAAAATATAAAAATTACAACTAGAAAAAGAAATTCATTTTTGAATGCATGCATTCTTGAAATTTTAAAAATTTAAGACTTATTAGCATATTTGCAAATTGAATATGATAGAAAGATTTCATGTATCATGAGAAGAAAAGAACATTCTCATCTAGCAGCAGTATATCCTGGGAAAAGCGCGCTGAGGATGTCCTGCAGTGTTGTGTTCTCAACCATTTCAAACTTCTTCCCAAGGTCCTCTCTGCAGGCAGGGCATGAAAAGACTTCAGCGGAAAATGACCTTTTCAAGCACATAGAACAAATATTGTGACCGCAGGGCGTAGTTATTGGCACGTGGACCAATTCTTGACAACAAATGCACATGAACTGCTCCTCAGTTTTCTCTAGGAATACCTTACAAAAACAAAATGAATTAATTATATAAAACAAGAGATTTCTTTTTGTAATACCTTTTTTCCATAAGAGAGAAACTCCATTAAGCTTTGCCAGTGCTTTCTATTCTGAGCATCTTTTGTGATATTGTCTTTGATGCCAGTTTCAAGTTTATAAGCAACAACCTTCTGCTTCTTAAGACTTGGTTCTTTACTCAAATCTTTTGTGAGGTACCTTTTTAACTTGTTTTCCGGTTTATTTTCTTTATCCTTATTTTCCATAGCTGCTAAATAACCTTCTGGATACTGAAAATTTTAAAAATAAATAACTACCTTTTTTTTTTTAAGTTTGGTTTTTGAAATGTTTAATATATATATTTTTTAAGGCAATACTTTTTATTCAAATTCAACACAATCATTACAATCATCGTTCTGGTATGACTACACTCTCACTTTTGAAGCATGTTGTAAAGTGTTGGGGTTTTTTTTGGAATCGAAACAGTGACACTGGTCTTTGTATCACTTCATGAACGTTACTGTGAAGACAGTTTTTTAATTTAACCTTTTTCCTAATTTTTTAACAATTTTTTGAGAGAAAAAAATCAATCTTTCAGTAGTGTCTTTACAAATCTGTACCATAACAAATGTGTTAAATTGTTAGTATGACCAATTTTTTTACTCATGAATAATCTATATCTCAGAATGGTCAAGAGGATGAAAAAAAAAATTCAACTGTTATCTGCCAAGCTTTCGACCTATTTTAAGGTCATCATCAGGGCAAAACAATTTAAAGAAAATTAAAAATTTACAAATTGACATAATAGTTAATGAGTTTTTATTATATTGTTTTAAATTTCTTTGAAGACAGACTCAATCCAAATTGCCAAGGAGTGTTAACAATTGAATTTTTGCATTCAGACCAAGATCCATATTATTAGAGAATAATATTTTAAAATTCAGAAAGTGAAAGATAGAAGATAGAAAATTTTTTTTGTATGTTTATTAACAACTGGTTTGCTGTATACCATTATTTCAAGACCAAGTGATGCAATTCTCTTCTTGCCCTCCTTTGTCCATGGAGCAGGGGATGGGTCGTCCCTTCTCAATAAATAGCGCCAAACTTGGAATCCAGACTTGCCTTTTTCTGGGTAATATTTCACCACTTTATAAATGCCGTCATATCTAAAATTAAATTGTCCATTTTGTATTACTTTTTGTGAGACGTACATTAATAAGATCTCACCTATTTCCTTCCTCAGGGGCATATTTTGAATGCTTAGAAAGTTTGAAATTTCTAACTACTCTAACTGGCTTTCCTCCCTTCCAATTTTTCGCTTCTGCTCCTTTTTTTGCATCTAGCGGTATGTTACAATTCATCGCCAATGCCCTGAAATTAATTTATTTAAGCCAAAATAACAAACAAAATAGTTCTAGAGGGATGAAAATACGGACTTATTCATTCTAGTAAGAGTTTGGTCACAGCTTTGTTCGGCTGTTCTCTTGTTACCGGACAAATCTCTTCCTCCTGACCCTGTGTACATAAACTCCTCTCCGTTATCAATATCATCTTCATAACCGCCGCTCAAAACAATGCTGTATGCACCGTCACTCTCCCTTCCGTGTATACCAGCCACATGAGGACGGTGAACACCTGCTTCCGAAACCTGAACTCTAAATTTCCAAATTGTCCCCACTTCAATACCAGGAATTTCACCGAAATGATTTGGTGGCACGAGAGTGCATTCTTTTGTCCTGCCGACACATGCCATCCCTTTGCCCCAATCTCTGGTCGTGTTCGAATTTGCTGATGCCATTTTTGCCTTCTTCTTTGATTCTTTCAGCTTTTCACCAGCTTTTACAATCTCAGTGTCGTCGTTCTTACACTCGGCGCAATACCTGTTTAAAACATAATATAAATTTGAATCTAAATTAAAAAACATTTTACATAAAAATAAATCAAATAAAAACAATTAAAAATTTAAAAAAAGCTTACCATTCATCGACATCTGGGACTGCGCTCAATGGTGGATTCAAACACCAAATATGATAAGACATATCACATTCATCACAGACTATTTGTTTTCCTGGGTCATTCTTTTTGCCACAATGAGCACAACCACATTCTTTGCACTTTTTCCTTACATTGTCCCCACATGAAGTACAAAAAGGGGCGTGCTTGCCTGTAAAAGTTGTATGTTAATTAAGAAAATGCAAAATTTAATTCGAAATATACAAAAATATGTTGAAAAAAGGGGAAGGATTTTGGGAGGGTGCCTATAATGTATCAAACAAGTACTATTTCATAATCAAAAATTTAAGTTGAAAATCTTCGATCTTTCCAGTACATTGTTATGTTATTAATTTGTGTAGGTTGTACATATAAAACAATAAAGATTTGTTATAGTAGTAAATTGAAAAAAAGACATATTTACGTTTTTGCTTAACATCAGTTTGCATGAGCATTAATTCATCTTCAGATCTTTCAGAAATTTTTTTAAGTTCTTCTATCTTCATTATTTCATCGACAAAAGCAACTATGCTGTCGTCCAAGCGAGTGTTTTCAGTTCCGACTAATAAAGTGCCTTTAATGGTCAGTTTCTTCCTGTTATTTTCAACAATGGTTTTAACCTCCATGTCATACCAGTAGCCTCTGTCCTTCGGCTCTTCAATGTTATAATTCACCATTATAAGGTCACCGACTTTTACATCGGATGAATGGATAGTCGTTCTGGCAATCGGCCTGATATCTTTCAGACTGACACTTATTGTTCCTTCATTATCATAGCTGAAATTGGACAAATTAATGAGAATCTCCTAAATTAATTTAAATGTCACAAGTTACTTACAGTCTAAATGCAACTTTATAAAGCAATCCATCATCATTTTCTTCCAGTTGTGTATCAACCTTGTTTAAATCTTTGTAAATTCCGATCACTTTGGCCTCGAACCAAGCTCCGTAACGGAAATCCTTGACGTCAACATAATCTCCGATCTAATTAAACAACTTGATTATAAATAATGAAAATAGAAGATAAAAAAATGCCATACTTTAAAATATTCACTTTCACAAGGAGGTCCTTCTTCCTGGAATGCACAACAAAAATCATAAGTGTCTTTCCAAATTACAAAACTGCTTAACATACTTCAATTGCATATGGCTTTTCCTCATTTTTGCATAATTTACTAGGTTCGTCTGCTTGTTTATTTTCCTCTTTTGGTGGCTCTGGTAAAGGGTCAACCTTTACCATAAGTTGTATGACATCATTTACATTTATGTTGTAGTCAAATAATTTGTACTCGTCTTCAAGCTGAAAAAAAATTAGATACACACATGTACATAAGCATATACATTACTGCATATATATTGTATTATACATTTCAATAATACATTACACCAGCAATTTTTTTCCTTTTACAACAGTATTTATTTGAACATACAACTAGTAAAATTGTCGATGTGTATAATTGGAAAGAAGTAATTAAAACAAAATCTGGTAATTTAAAGGGAAAAAAAGCCCTTATGCAAAGAAAGTTCATGTCCAAAAACTAGAGCCATGAGCAGGACTCGAACCCACAACTTCTGGATTAGTACCCGGTACTCTACCACTCGAGATATTGTGACTTGGGTCTGGGAAGTCGGAACATTACACAACAATGAGGAACATTATCGAATTTTCCGTATCAACTTTCTTTGCATAAAAATTAATATATGCTAGAACAACTGATGAAAACAACTAATAAAAATAATTGTAATGGGTGATGGTCCTCCTACATCAATAATATTCCCCATTGCTAATTCATGCATCATTGTGCAGCTGTGGGATGCCAAGTTGTTTGAACAAAAGTGAAAAAAAGGAGGAAAAAATTAAATAGTTGTCAGTTGAGATGAGGACATAGTGTCTTGAAGACTGAAGTAATGACTGCCCAAAGATCACGATGTCAATGTCATTTTAATCTCCTAAAAGGATTATTGGGAATAATATGATGTTAAGGTTAAGACTATGGAATTGGGTTGTAATGAGGATTTGTGGAAATTTGTGTTAAGGAGACACCTTTCACAAAATGAATGTTATTAAGGTCATTATGGTTGTATAACGGGATATGTAAAAGGAAGCATTTACTATTTTTGGAAGATTTTGGAATGGGAAATCTGTATATGATGGTAGTTGGAATGTTTGGTTGAACACCGTAGTTCACTGTGTCCAAATGGACTTGAAATATTGTATATAAGTCACTTGTCAGTTCCTGCTTTTTTGGTCATCTATATGGATTCCAATAAATGGTTCAGTATATGTATGTCGATGTACAACCCAACATAGCGGAAGTGGTTATCTATAGGCTCATAGTCATGATAGTTTTAAAAGTTTTCAGTATTATAAGTATTGACCACTTTTTCACTTACAAACACTCTGGATCAAAGTTTGGTCTTGAAGAAGAAAACAAATTTAATACCTACTGCAAAGCTTTCGACCTATTTTAAGGTCAACGACCTTAAATATGTCTACAGATTGACAAATATAAAAAACTTAAATACATAAGATGTTTGCAATGTACATGAAGGGATCGCAGGTTTTTGTACAATGTAACCCATGTCCGCTGTATCCAATACAACTTTTCCAACATACATGTATACTATATCCGATATGTAGCAATTCGAGTGGATGTGTTGCAGAAGATGGAGAATAACCCAAACAGAATGTATTTTCATATATATGTATTGAATGAAACAAAAAATCTCCTTTAATCCATACAAAATTCCTTATACATTCATATTATTATAATTATGGGGTATATTATAATTTTTTTTGCATATTTTCTACATTTGTAAAGAATTCAGTGATTTTCTTCTGAGACTAATAACGAACCAGAGCCCCAGAATTTGCGTGTTGTACACTGTAACCAATATTTCACCCCCCCACCCAGAAAAGTGTACGCTCTAAACTGTGTATACATTGTAAGCGGTGTTAATGTAATTTTTCCTATACCATTTTATGGTGCTGGAGGTTTTGTATGCTTTAACCAGCTGTACGCTCTATCCGGTTTAGGCTATAGACTATAAAAACAAATGTATGGTGATTAGTGACGTTAGTCGATTATTATACGGAAATCGTGAGACCAGACCGCATCTCACGATTTCCGAATAACTATAAATAGATTTTAATGCCCAATTGATTTTATTAGTGACCGGTTTCAACCCACTAGGTCATTCTCCATGTCCTACAATCAACATTTCTGCCAATTTTAAACAATTTTATACAAAAAAAAATATATCAATCTCTTAAACAGAAAATTAAAGCTGAGGCCCACAACACCCCACCGCTATATCGGATTCTATCTGGTGTCCTAAACCATATCCACTGTATGTCAATCTGTCGCCCTGATGCTGAACTTAAAATAGGTCAAAAGTTTGGCAGTAACAACTAAATTTGCTTTCTTTGTCAAGACCACACCTTGTTCCAGAATGTTCGTATGACAGTTAAATCAAGATTGTTAATTAGGTTACAATTCATAGACAAAACTGATTTACGCAAAAAAACTTATAATAAAAAACAGGCGAGAATTCTTCAAAAAATAGCGCGTAGTACTTAATAATAATAATAATTATTATTATCATTAATAATACTAAGACTGAAGCATTTGGTTATAGTATATATTATTACAAGGTCATGCAAAGTTTTTTTTCTTAAACTTTTAGACGTTTGAATTAATTCCAGAAATATTCAATAAAACTCAACTGGTGTACAAGTTCTAACACTTCAAATTATATATATGTACATATATATAAAAAAGCCATAAATATTTGAGTGATTTGTTAGCATTATTGACATTTAGAAAGTAAATAAATCACCTGTTTTCCCCTGTAGAAGAGCCTTTGCTTGTCCACTTTGACATCGAGCTCTTTTTCCACGATCCCTTTGAATTCGTGGACGGTGGTGAGCTTGGAAATGGTCACGGTCACGTTTTTCTTGCCATCGATCGTCCTCACCTGGACGTACATGGTTGGAGTAAGGGTGTCGAATGAAGAAATCCACTGGCCCTGGCGACCGACGAACGACAACCACGGCCATTTGGCGCGGGAGTGGAGACGCGTCGTTGGCGGGAAAACGGGCCCGCGCCCAACGGCCGACCACGCTCCTAGCCTCATCGGGACGTCATTCGATCATCACTTCTAAAACGTCACCAAGACGAAATTGGTGAATTACACTCTGACGACATACAATGACAGGCAAACAATTCCACCCGCTTTTAATATAACTTTATTTGTATATTGTGATATTAACCAAAGTTTTTTAACGTTTAATAAGTCTGAGTCTTTGTCTAAAAAAGTAAAAAAAATATATATAAATTGCTAAGGAAAATGAAAAATTAAAAAAAGACGGACAGATAAAATTTGTTTTAGATTTTTAATTAACATTTCGATATTGCATATTTTCTCCTGTTGCCTTAATAACGTCTCGAAGACGCCTCGGCATACTTTCTACCAGTCTGTAATTGCGCTGTAATATCTCGCTAATAACCCTAGGCAAATCTTGGATGGCATGATCGAAAATGGCCCATTGGCTATACACGGCAGTAATAAGACCCAAAATAAATTATGAATCGTTTGTCTGGTGAACAAAAGGTCAACAGAAAGTAGCTACCCATACATTAGCGTTCATGCAAAGATTAGCAAACCTATGTATCAAAGGGGCAATGAGAACAGCCCGTACAAGTGTACTAGACCGACCTCCACTGGAAACAATTATTCAAGGCGAGGCTTGGAAAAGCTCATTTAGGCTGCAAAAATAATCAAATTGGATAGGAACTAAATAATTCGGCACATAACCATAATTTATAAAACAAGACACCCGTTCCTAGAAATAGGGACTGAATTATGATGCCGGAAACATTCTTTATAGCATCCTATAAAGTTTCAACAGAATATAAAGAAGAGCATTACATACAATGATATAGTATACAGATGGCTCTAAAACAAACGTAGTCGCATCAAAACTAGTCAGTGAATGCATTCAAAATCTCAAGACCTTGGGAAACACAACCACTTGATATCTTGGGTGCCAGGACACAAAGAAAGTTTGGGTAAAGAAAAAGCAGACACACTGGCCAGAGGAGGATCTGCAAAACATTGCCCCAAATCTTTACATGGGATAAGAAAAACAAATACAGAATCCACCATCGCAGAATGGATCCATATAAAACAAAAGGAGAAGTGGATAAACTCTAACGCCGCTAGACACAATAAACGTACGTTAAAACAACCTTCACCAAGAGTGCGAACTCAGTGTTACAGTTGGAGAGGGCTAGATTCAGAGGAGTGATAGAATTATTAAGAAAACATCTGCACAAAATGGACATATATAATGATGATACCATCTGCAGATTATGTAAGGAGGAAGAGGAAACAACCACCCATATCATAATTTAATTAAAAAATAGCACCTATAAATTATTTAAAATGGAAAAGTGTTTAATTATCTAATAAGCATACTCTGATTTCTTTTTAGTGTTGCATGATCTTTTGGTTATTAGCGGCATATGAATTAAATCAAGGCGCTGAAGGTCTACTGTACCTGCAACGCAGCTCGGTCTTTGTAAAAGGTAGTTTGTAGCGCCTTGAACTAAAAAATCACATGTTGAAGTGAGGTAGAAAAATGTTCTAATTTATAAAAATAATTCCAAATCCAATGAATTATTACTTTTCTACTTACTATAAAAAAATTTCTTTTTTTTTCCTATAAGGATAGCTTCACCAAACCCGCAAATAGGAGTGTGAGTCCGCATATTCAGGAGTGAGTATTCACGTGAAATCATTGAATCATGGGTATGTTTTTGTACTGTGAATTAGCGAAATTTACTGACATACCTCATGACGGGAAAGTAGATGATTTTTCTTGCAAATGAAAACAAAAATCCTCAAGTGGCAAATTTATGTTCAAAATGATTCAGTTACTATGAAATTATTTCTTGACAAACGTAAGTTAATTGTAACAACTTCGTTGTCGTGGTTGAAGATTATAAATCATAACATTTAATTTAAAGTGATAGATGAAAATAAGCGCGTTTATAGAGTATTGTGGCGGGGAGAGAGAGACAATTCATTGTACCAAACTTTTCAGCATTTTAGTATAATTGTAACTTTCAAAAATAATTACGTTTTATGTGTAATGTACGTTTCAGATGTAAAACGTATTTAACAATTATTGTATTTTGTTGCGAACCTTCGTAAAAAATTATAGTGATACCGATAACGAAAGCGATGATTGAACCAATGAAATAAGGAAAATTACGGAATGCTAGAAATATTGCAATAAGACTAAATTATTTCCTTTGACGAAACACCTAACTTTATTTACTTCAATGATTAAATTAACTTAGAATCTCATAATTATAAATTCTTTACATTATCGCTGTTGTTTTAAAAAAAAGTCATCACACTAATTATACATTGATCATGTCATTTTTATTGACAAGAGAGCACCTAACTTTTTATTAAATAACCCCGACTTTGAAGATTATAAATCATAACATTTAATTTAAAGTGATAGATGAAAATAAGCGCGTTTATAGAGTATTGTGGCAGGGAGAGAGAGATAATTCATTGTACCAAACTTTTCAGCATTTTAGTATAATGCTACAAATTTAGTAAAGTTTGCGATTGAAGCCTGGAACTACATGAAAGAACTAGATTTTGTTTCAATTATTAAATGTTTATTGTATATATAAAAGACACTCTGCTTATTTATATGTGCATAAGTGTAAGTACATAAACATAGATATGTTGTTATTTCATTTTACTTATTTCTTGAGAAGAAACTTTTGGTCGTCTTTTGTTTGTTTATTAAAAATGATTATTTGGACATCATGATCCTAGTAATACAGTATCCCTCCTTTTTTCTCCACCCCTTCCAAATCCAACGTATTTAAACAAAAAAACATCAATATCTCACTGGCACTCTCAACACGACACACAGTCAAGTAAAAAACCGGACGTGAAAGATAAAATAAAGCAAATATGAAAAATGATACTCCACTATCACGGAAAATAACATTTTACGAGGCAGCCGTTAGTATTTTGAGCTATAGTGTACAAGTTTTGTGCTATCTAAGTGAGGAAGAACAAGAAAAGTTTGAAAGATTTTATATAAAACAAGCTTTTCAAACTCCCATATAGCAGCCTAAATTATGTTTTAAACATGGACACTTCCTACAATTTTGGGGATTTGGGGCATCTGATAATACACACATAATACATACAGTGATTATTATCGGAAAATAAGTTATAAAACGAAATTGTTGATTGTGTAAACTAAATAATAAATAAGAAAGTTGATTAGGAGTCAAATAATTTGTTGTTTATATTAAATTTAAATGTTCTAACTTAAAAACCAATTAAATAAGTTACATGACAGTCATAACTTCATAAGAGATGGTTAGAAGGTAAAATAAAGGGAGTGCTACATCTACTATATATGGCTTTTATAGAACATTTAAAACCAATTGCAATAATTATTTAGGCACAAAATATGTTGCTGTAATTATGAAATATAAAGCCGAATTTTTAATCTTCAGCATAACCCATATTATATATACAGGCATCTTTCTTGCCATCTGTTCTAGTTGTAACCGAACAGAACTTGCAAATTGTAAACATTTTATAGCAGTATCCCTCGTAACATAGAATAATGGACTTAGAATTACATGAAGGATCAGCGTCAAAACTTTAACGGAACGAAATAGGAAGTTTTGTGTCAATATATATGTAAAAGTAACAATTATTGAAATTTAGTAGTTTCAGGGTTTGATTATTAAAACAATTTAAGGTATATTTATTGTATATTTTTTATTTGCTCTTGAATTGTTGAAAAGAGAACAAATAGAAAATATACGTACACAATCATACGTTTTTTAAATTTCAATTTTCATGTTTACTCAATTCCATTAAATGAATACACTGAAGATTAAAGTAGGTATAAATAGTAATTGTCTGGCTTTAGAACATAAAACACTACAGTATGGAAAAACTATTTAGGTGTATAGAGAATTTTTCATGCGGTATATCATCAAAGTTCATGATCATTTTTAAAAGAGGAAATATATCGCACTTTAACTTTACATTATTCTCTTTTACTTTCAATAAAAATCTATGTAAAACGAAGTTTACAAATTTATTTAAGAAAAAAAGATTAGAAACAACATAATAATGAAAAAAAAACGTAATGACCATATGTGCACATAAGTAAAGAACTAAACGAACTTTTTATTTGAAATAAAAAATTAAATTTAAAATATTAATATTAATTATGTTTCCATTAATTGTTAATCCAACCTTATAGGAAAAACTTAATATATCCTAATAATTGGCTATTGAAGAAAAAATAAAATTATGCAAATGTTACCAGCGTCAAAATCGTTTATTGAATCTAATTGTATTTATTGGAATGACTGCCACACTGGATTGCAGATTTGCCGTGAGAACTCATAACTGAATTAAAAAATAGCGCCTATAAATTATTTAAAACGCAAAAGAGTGTTTAATTAACCAGCAAGCACACTTTGACTTCCTTTTGATGTTGCATAATAATTTGCTTATTATGGCACACAAATGAATTCAAGGCGCTCAAGGTCTACTGTACCCGCAACACAGCCCGGTCTTTGAAAATGGTAGTTTGTAGCGCCGTGAACTAAAAAAAAAACATGTTAGCGTTGTTGTTGAAGTGAAGTAGAAAAATGTTCTAATTTATAAAAATAATTCCAAGCCCAATAAATTATTACTTTAATTTTAACACTTTTTAGCGTTTTAACCAAATGTATGTCTACACTCATCATTTCAACAGTTCCAGGTTCGAATCTCAAAGTGAACTGAACGAAAACTACTTTTTTTAAATTATATATCGTAATGTTCAATTGCAAATAAATGTGTGGTGTTTAGTTCCATTTAGTCCAAATAATCATTGCAAATAAAGCTTTTTATTTAACTATCTCTTTATATTTACAAATATTGACTCATATTTTGGTTTTTGTTGAAGAGGGTAGCAATAAATCGAGCAGGATCTGCGTCAATGCTGGAACATGCTGATTATTTTTAGTAAAAAGGTACACAACGGATTTGCATAATTGCATTAACAAGGGGCCAACAACCACGATGTAGGCGCACACAATCACGACGCTATTTCTA